AGAAGAAGTGCCTCCTTCCCATCAAGGCGACTGGAGTTTTTGTGATGTCTTCCTACCCCAACATTTCCTCTCGTCTACTCCTTCACCTCCACGTTTTGGCATTCATTACTTTTCCTTCATGCTTAAGTTGTTCCCATCTTAAACACGGACAAACAAACAAAAAACAAAACAAAAGAACTTAACTCTTCTCTGTGCCATATTTTCTTTTAGTTTGACCCTGTGTTTTTTTCTTGACACATCACTATGTACCGTGAAGGAATAGTCTGCAGCTCTTGCCTTCCCATGTTAATTTTCCATTCTTTGGACTGTTAAAGTTAGGCTTTCATTCCTACTGTGCCCCTGAAGGTGCTTTGTAAAAGTCCCTGGTTCTCTGGTTGCCAGATCTAGTGGCCTCTCTAGGCCGCATTTTCTGTGACCTTTCTAAGACGTTTAATGCCGACCACTTCCTTCATGAAAACTTTCTTTATTTTCTGGGATGTCGCTGTCCTAATTTTCCTACCTGTGGTGCATTCCTTCTGAATCCTCCTTTGCTGTCCCTCTTCCTCTGCCCACCTTTTAAGTGCTGATGCTCTCTGACTTTTACCTCCCTTTCAGTAGCCTCACGCATCTGCATGGCTTTCATTTTGTATACCCAGGTGATTCTGAAATCTGAATCTTCCTTGCAGATCCCTGTTTTGAATCCAGATCCACATGACCTACTCCTCTTAACAGTCCTATAGAATAGTTCTGTTTTCCACATTTATAGGTGAGGAAATTGAAGTGAAGGAATGTTTGGTAACCAGTTTGAGGTCAAGCAGTCAGTGGAAGAGGCAGGATTTGAACTTCTTTGTAAAGTTAAGTCTTTAACTCTGTAACATGCTGTTAATCAAACATCTCCACCTGACTCTCTGAGAGATGTATTAAGTATGTCGTGCCCTATAACAAATGCCATCCCCTAACTCCATTCTCATTATTGCTCCTCTTATACCCCCCCAAAAAAAAACAAGAGAGAGAATTTGAAAACCTATATTCTCAATCTCAGTGAATGGCATTCTTTCTTCCAGTTTTCCAAGCCAGAATGTATATCGGGAATTGACATAGACTTTCCTCTGTCACTCCATCTTACAGACTGTCTGGCCCAAGGGAGCCTCAGTTCCTGGGTATTCTCCCTTTTTAACACGACTTGTAATCATTCCCTCCTTTTCACTTCTGCTGTCATAGTTGAGAACTTCATATCAACCTGGATTGCCATGATAGTGACAATCCAACCCATTGCTTCCCATATTATCTGAGCTGAAGAATTGAAGTTTTTATTTTTTTTAATTTTTAATCTGTTGCAGAAGTTTTGTAGCATTTAAAAATATGAATTATTGGAAAACTGAAATGAAAAAGACATGCAAACTATAAGCTCCATTTTTTAAATGATTAAATTTGATAGACATAAAATTATTGACAAATTGCTATAAGTTTTTAAATACTAATCATCCACATATATCCTGTCACAGACAGATAACAGTTTGTGGATTGACGCTGATCCACAGACAACATTGAGGAGCACCCGTTCATGGTATGTGATGAAAAGAAACGTCTGCAGTTTTCTTAGATTATTACCACATGGGCTTATGTTATTTAAAACGGAAACATTCAGTTAGGACGTTCTTTGCTTTTGGCTTATAGATAGCATGTATATCTGGATTTAAAAGGTTTTAGAAAATTTCCTGTTTCTGTAGAATCTCTTCTTTTAATATAAATAAATCCATTAGAGCAAGGGGTAATGATATTGCTTTACAATTTAATGCTAAGATCAAAGTGTACTGATTTAAGAGTCCAAAGAAAAATTTTCTTAAATAGGTTGGAAATACAGTCTTCATAGGTTACCAATAACAAGAATGATTTCCCCTGGGGCGCCTGGGTGGCTCAGTTGGTTAAGCGACTGCCTTCGGCTCAGGTCATGATCCTGGAGTCGCGGGATCGAGTCCTGCATCGAGCTCCCTGCTCAGCGGGGAGTCTGCTTCTCCCTCTGACCCTCCCCCCTCTCATGTACTCTCTCTCTCTCTCTCTCATTCTCACTCTCTCAAAATAAATAAATCTTTAAAAAAAAAAAAGAATGATTTCCCCTGGTTTGATATATTTAATTTGACGTTGTACACATATACAAAAATTTGCTTCTAATGTGCAATAAATTATAGCAGGTGAGTCAATGTATTCTATTTCTGAAAGATTAAAATTCTACATAGGTATTAATCTGAATGGGTGATAAATAATAAAATTACAGTATTTGGATTTGGCAGACATCTGACTAAACCCTTATCAAAAGATTTTGAAGTAAATGAAATGCAGACAGGTGATGCCAAAATGGTCAGGTGGTAGAATACCACTTACCTTGAGTAAGGCATTGCTGAGGAGTCAAAACACACAAAACCAAAGTTCTAAGGGGATATGAATTCAAGAATGGGTGTGCTCTAAGTAAACTGAAATTATACCTAGGATTAGTTTAGAAATTCATTAAATAAAAAAAAAACATACTGTGCAGACCTCCTTGTTGTCTACATCAGGTTTGACACAGAACAAAACAACATGGGCAAATGCTAAGAGAACATAATTTTCCTATATAAGGTAATAAAAAAGGTCAGAAAAAGTCTTTTAAATATTTTGAATAAACAAATTAAGCAATTAATCTTCAGCACTGTGCCACGATTAAAAACTACCACAGAAAATTTCTAACCCATTAAGAGTTCATTAAGAGTTAAAAAAATTTTTTAAGTTCAGTTACAGCAATATTTGCTCTGTTAAAGAAGTAAATGGCCCCCAAACACAGTTAACCATCAAAACAAAACAACTTTGTCATGAGAAGTGGGGGCACTATTGGATGTTTAGGAGATGAAATTCCTCAAGCAGGATGTTAAATCACTCTTCTTCCATTTGTAGGTCGTTCACAGTGGATGGAAAGATGGCAGCTTGCTAAACCCACACCTAGAATGTGATCAAAAGTTTTATTCAAAGAAAAGTGATAAAGTAGCATGGCTTGTACGGAAGTTCAGGATAGAGAGGAGGTAGGAAAAGGTAACCTTGTTGGGGTCTCTGTGCTCCCCAAAGCAGAAAGGAGTGACGTGCAGTGAAAAGTAGATTTATTTTTTAAATGTAATAATAAAAAAGAGAAACAAAAAGAAAATAACTTTTCTTAATTTACATTGTAGCAAGTTAACCTGAGTTTTGGAATGACAGGTGTCCATCTGGTAGCCTGGGAGAAATGCTGACTTTGCAGGCAAGGGCAACAGGGAGAATAGGCATGTGAAGGATAGCTTGAAACAGCAGTGTGTTTTGTTCTCAGAAGAGTAAGTAAGCATTTTGAGGTGGCCAGAGCACACCCAGGAATGGAGTGTCTATTGCTGGCTGGGATCTGACTGTAGAGAAGGCTGAGACCGGGGCTTCTCAAGCAGATGTGTGCATAAATAACCTGAGGATTTGTTAAAATTCAAATTCAGGAAAGGAACTTGAGAGTCTGCTCTTCTAAAAAGCTGCATTGTGATGCGGATGCTCTGGTCCACAGACCACACTTGGTAGCAAGACTCAATTTTGTCCTAATATTTATTGATACTTTGTTTCATGGATTATGAGTCGCCACTGTTGAGCTTTTGTTGGATCACACAAAATACATGGCATTTCTGTTAAGGTAGAGATATTTAGTTATTAAATAATTTTATGTAAGTTTTATTCTGATGATGGTAAAATAATACTCTTAGCAACTTCATTGCCAAGTACAAAATAAATAATTTAGGTATGAACTCTTACCCTTATTGAATTAGTTGAGTAGGATGATGCAGTATAATAATGGGAATAATCTAAAATTTGGAATTAGATTTTTAGACCTGGGCTTCAGTATCAGTTTTGTGTCAAAACAACTGTGACTTAATGAAGCTAAATTAACCCATTTCTCTTTTTTGCTTTCTCGTGTCTGAAATAGTTATACTTGCCATTTTATAGAATTGTTGTGAGGGTTAGAAATGCTAATGTATGAAGTACCTTGTAGACAAAGGTTAATGGAGGTTTCAATTACCAAACTTGTGAGATCCCTTAAAAGCTAAATATCTACTATTCTTAAATAAAGAACATTGAGTGATCTTATCTTAGGAATAATTGATCTATGAGTGATTTATTTACCCTTTTTACTTTTTTTTTCTCATTGATTTTTGGCAAGTAATGTTGTTCTTTGTAGTTTATAAAAGCTCTCACTACTACCCTAACTCAAGATCCACTTATACTCATGGTATATAATATGGTTGTTACAGAGGAGAATATGTTGTATTTCTGAATGCCCTGGAAGCATGAAATAATAGGTTGGATTGTACTTGTATCTGGTTTTTAGAGTTCTTTTGCCTTATTTTTAAATGATTTTTTGATTATGGAAATTTTCTGTATAATTTGCCACGGAATAGGAACATCCCCCTTTCGGAGCTAAAAAAATAGCCCAGCCTGTTGCTTAACTATCATTCAAGCCTGTAAATGGACACACCAGTTTGTGTTCCTCTACAAAGAGACCCACAAGTGCTTTAGAAGCAGGTTTGGGGCCTTTTAGGCAAGAATTCCCGTGGTTCTGGTGACCAGACTCCAGAAAGGATACATAGACTGTGGGTGGGCACATCTCTGATCTCTGAGGACAGGCACAGCAGTTCTAAAGCCAGGCCCTCTACGGGTCTCTAAAGCTCAAGACAAGGGCCCAGGTTGTTAAGGGAAGTGTATTAGGGAAATTAATATTTAGTCTCCACTGCCTTTTTTTGATACTAGCACATTTATTTAGTTTTCTTGTTTCATAACTGTGGTATACTTTTATTTATGCTTGAGTTTTTAATGGATGACACAAGAAAATTATAAGCACCTTATTTAATTCAGTAGCTCTGAGATGGAAATAAGTCTTAGTGATACAAAAAATTCTTAGATTAAATGTGGTTTTGCTAGTAGGCATTTTATTATGAAATTTTTTTTCTAACTCTGTGCCTTGTCCTTATGTTTTGGTTGTTTAGATCTGCTTCAGCTCCCCAGGAATATGATTGAAAACAGCATGTTTGAGGAAGAACCAGATGTGGTAGATTTAGCCAAAGAGCCCTGTTTACATCCTCTAGAGCCTGATGAGGTGGAATACGAGCCCCGGGGTTCAAGACTGCTGGTGCGGGGTCTTGGTGAGCATGAGATGGATGAGGATGAAGAGGATTATGAGTCATCTGCAAAACTGCTAGGCATGTCCTTCATGAACAGAAGCTCAGGCCTTCGGAACAGTGCAACCGGCTATAGGCCGAGCCCAGATGGGACTTGTTCTGTACCGTCTGTGAGGACCATGGCGGTCTGTGTTTTTCTTATTGTGGTTGCTGTTTCTATAATCATGGTGATTTATCTACTGCCCAGATGTACCTTTACCAAAGAAGGCTGCCATAAAAAAAACCAATCAATGGGACTAATTCAGCCACTTGCAACAAATGGAAAGTTGTTTCCTTGGGCACAAGTCAGGCTTCCCACTGCCATAATGCCACTACGCTATGAACTTAACCTACACCCAAACCTAACCTCGATGACATTCAAGGGTTCTGTGACCATTTCACTTCAGGCTCTTCAGGCTACGTGGAATATCATTCTTCACAGTACAGGCCATAATATTTCGAGAGTGACCTTTATGTCATCAGTTTCAAGCCAAGAAAAACAAGTTGAGGTCTTGGAATACCCATTTCATGAACAAATTGCCATTGTTGCCCCTGAAACCCTTCTTGAAGGACACAGTTATACCTTGAAGATAGAATATTCGGCGAATATATCTAGTTCTTACTATGGGTTTTATGGAGTCTCCTACACAGATGAAAGTAATGTGAAAAAGTATGTAGCCTTCCTAAATGATTCTACTTCTTTGCTCTGTGATGACTTACATAATATGGATTCCTTTGCCCACACCAGAGACATCAACTAGAATTTTTTTTTTTTTTAATGTAGGAGGTTATGTGCAAAATAGTAGAATGGTGATTTGGAAAGAATATACTATTTCTCTCTTAGTCAAAGCCTTTAGCAACTATCATGCTCATATATGTCATATATCATACATCGTGGTGGGAGTTAGGCATGCTGATGGAAGGACATGGATAAAGATTATATCAGTTATATTCTCTAGCACAAAATCTTAAGTTATTTTGAGCTTTTCATATCCTGGTGAATCTAGTTTTCAGTCACCTCACAAGATCTCAATGGGATGCAAAGAAGAGTATGGATTATTTTTTAAGACCTGTTTTCCTAATGTGCAGAACTTTTAGGAGGTGCTTAGTGAGATGGAGAAAGAGGGCAGGAAGAACTATTGTATGCTTACATATATCATTTTTAGTGTCCTTAATATTTGCTGTTCATTAAAAAAGTCACTCTGTTTTGGATTTCTGAGGGAATTTTAAAAAAAAATCTAGGAGAGACTTAATTTGGTTTTAAAAAATGGTGATTCAAAACATAAAAGTATTCAGCTCCCTATTTAGACTATGTATTTTGCACTTTAATCTTAGTATTTGTAGTATATAGTTCCAATTTCTGGAAAGATGCAGTGCACACTTCATACAGGTTATTCTTAAGTAGCAATAATGTCATTTCTCTTATGTATATGAAGTCCTTATTAGATCCATTTAATTTGGCCCATCCCCTCATATTACTTTGTAAGCCAGTTTGTGAATTACTGATGCTGGCCATTTGGCAAATGTATGTTGGTGTATTGAGAAAAATAGAAATGAATATTTTAAATCTATCTTAAGGAAATGGTTTGATCCTTCTTAAATGGAGAAAGACAAAGCAAGATGTTTATACCTGTTCAAATAAGTAATTTTTCTCTTTGCCTTTATCTAAAAAAAAAAAAAAAAAAAAAGGGATGGCGGGCACTTGTGTGAGATGTAATGTTAAAAACAAATTTATGATTGTGACATGTGGGGGTGGGCACTGCCAGAGGTGAATGTGACCCAGGACAGGCTCACACCCATTTCCTTTGTGGGTCAATGTTTCTTTCCTTTTTACTTTCACTCTGCTCTAAAACTAGAGCTTTACCTGTTCAAATGTCACTATTAACAAAGTAAAACTGCACTGTAATACAGTAGACAGGATCCAAAAAAAAAAAAAAAGGCAAATTTATAATTATGGCAGCTCATGGCTTCTTGGCTTTATTTCTCTCTTTAGAATCTTCATCATCTCTAGGAACTACAGGATATACATTAAAACAATGCAAACAGACCTTGAAGACAAATCCAGTAGTCATCTCTTCCAATCAGATTATTGCCCTTGGAGTCCCTTGGGCCTACTACTATATAATGGAAAGAATAAATGTATGGCAGAGAAAGGTGATTTTGAGTACTTGTTGACTCTTGCCATGGGCTAGATCAAGTTGTGGAAAATACTATAAATATAGAGAAGACAGTTCCTTAAAAATAAGAAATAGAATATTGTTTAGTGTTTTTAAATCTATTAAAACAAGTTAGTATGTGAAATTCTGCTGTTAAAAAAGTATATAAATCTGTTAACCTGCCTGCTTCAGTAAAATGAATGCCCCACGTGGTTGTATATCTTGATGGAAGATAAAAGTTGAGAAGATTATTTATACCTTTCAAGGTATCTGAAAACTGTAATTCAAAGCAATTTTTTGGTCTCTCTCCAACTTTTAATTTTGCATAGTTCTATTAGAGAAATTTTTTGTATCTCCCCTCCAAAATGTAATAACTATTTAAACAAGTAGATAAAATAATTAAGGGATATGTTCCTTATTGATGGGAAAATCAGAGTATATGTAAATGTCAAACATGTATCTGTGGTCAGGGAACTTTACTGATGTCATCTAAGATGTGGAGATGGTCACTGAACCTGGAGATCAGTCTAGAAGGTGTTGATGATATGCTTAAGGTTCTAGATAATAAACTGATACTAAAAGAACCAGTTAACAAATTTAGGTTGGGGATGTATTTTATTTCTTTGTCCTTCAGTTTTTCAGTCTCTTTATCTTGAACTCCTCAAGCATCTTCTTAACTGGTCTGGCTCCAGTCTTGCCACTGTTTTTCCCTCCTCTTGCCACCATCTTCCACACAGTTGCCAGACGCATATTTCTAGAAGTACACATCTAACCACGTTGGTCTTTGGTTTAAGATCTTTCAGCACTTTCTCTTTTCTAACAGGATTTAGTTCAAGATTCTTCCAGATCTGGCCTTTGTTTTATCTCCTATCCCTCACCTGCCATAATGAACTTCCTGTGCACTCTCCTGAATTCCAGTGATAATAATAACCCATATTTACTGAGAACTGAAGTGCTAGAAGCTCTTCCAAGCACTTTCTGTGTTTAGTCTTTCATCCTGTCAAACCCATTAAGGAGTGGATATTAATATTTTATTCATTTTACAGGTAAGGAAGCAGGCACATAAAGCAACTCCTCTAACATCTTACGGCTAGCAAGTAGCAGAGGGTGACCTCAGAGTCCTTTTAACTAGAGGCTCCATGCTCAACCACTAAGATGTACTGCTTCCGCAGTTCACACCACTTTTTCATTTACCCATTGTTACTCCCAGTGGTTAGAATTCTCTTACATGACCCCGGGGTAATTCATAATTGTCTTCAGCTCTATTGGAGGTAGTGCTCAAAGTGCAGCTAGTATTTCTGAAAGCAAAGGAAGTCACTAATGAACATAACAAAATAAAATTTAAAAAAAATAAGTTTCAGTGTGTTCAGCACAGATAGGATGGATTATAAGTATCCTCAAGCAGCAACCTTCTCAAAAAGACTTTTATGTAAGATAGTTATTATTGCATCCCTTTGAACAGTAATTTAAAATTTTCTTTGTCTCAGAACATTATGATCCAATTTTTATCTAATAAAGTGGTGGTCTAAGTAGACTATATGCATATTACAGATATCATTAAACTTTATCCCCTGGCCCCTGTGGCCCTCTTCCATAATTTTCTGTTAACTAGGTAAGAATTTGAGAGTGGAGTGAAGAAATTGAGTATTAGCAACATAATATGTTTCAATTCTTTCATGTATGTTGATAGCTATCTTTTGTGCAGTTTCCTCAGTAGAAACAATTATTTGGGCAGACCCTTATCAGGACAAAAGCACAATAACTTTAAGTGTGAATGAAGAGTTATGACTATCTAGCACTGATAATAAACATCTATGTTGGACTTTGTGGCATACAAGCAGTTTTTATTTTGAATAGCCATATTTGATTCTAACAAAAATCCCAATTTTTTGGCAGAGGATCCTACCTCAGTCCTAATTTAATGAATAAGGAAACGGAGGTGGATATTACTGATTTGCCTGAAGTCACGTGGCTGGTAAAGTGCAGGATTTGGGTCTTCTTACTTCTTAATATTTAATACTTAAATATTAAGAAAAGAGTCCCACACTCTTTTCTGTGTATCTTTTTAAAAGTGGAAACTAAGCTGTAAGCAAGTAAGGCCATCATGTCCAGAGGGGTGATTGTAGATGTGCCATATTGACTAGTACCTGAAATATGCACAACAGGGCCACATGGGCCCTGATTATTCTGTGGCCATTTTTGGATGATTTCCCAAATGCAGATCTGTTTTATTCCTCTGCTTTAATTGAAAATCGGATTTTCTCCTCTTTTTCTTTTTATGCTTTTCTCCCAACCTTTAATTGAGGACTTTCGTATGAGTTAAAGTCTCACGTGTTGTTGCTGTGCTGTAGGAGAGGGAGGAAATTTTTTATTTATTTCTGAAGATTGTAAAGGAAACCATCATACTACAGAGCGCCTAGTTTTTTTTTGTTTGTTTGTTTGTTTTTAGTCTTCATGAAAGTCTAAGTAGTAAGTTTAAGGTTTAGTGTTGTGAAGCCAGAGTCTGTGTAAATGTTTAATGGCAATTAATGACCACCCTTCATACTGATCTCCATCTGAAACCTTAAGACTTCAGTGGCCTGCCGTAGGCTACCTTTGTGGCTTCAACTCCAGCCATCTTGGACAGCCACCTCCAGTTCCTGAGTATCACATTGCTCTGTCTTTCCTTGTGCTTCCCACTCTTTCTACAGTGTACTTCCTACCCTCCTCTACCTTTTTAAATATTCCTCATTTTTTAAGACTCTTCAAATTTTGTCACCAGTTTCCATACAGCATCTCAACTACCACTCAGAATTTGTTTCCTGCCCTTTGTTTCCACTGCTTTATTTTCAATATTAATGACATGGTTTGCAGCCCGACAGGTTTCTGTTCATCATATAACCTATGCCTCTCCCAGTTGACTGCAGATCCTTTAATGACTGGGATTGTACCAGGTTTCTCTTAGTATCCCTAGTACTTGGCAAGGTGCCTTCAATAGTAGGTGCTCAATAACTGTTGGATGAATTTGCATTTGTTTTAGGTACTTTGCAGCAACTCAGTTTGAACCTCTGGCAGCAAGATCTGCTTTTCCTTGTTTTGATGAACCAGGATTTAAAGCCACATTTATCATCAGGATCATAAGGGATGAGCAATATACTGCTTTATCAAATATGCCTAAGGTACTGTTCTGTTCCTTAATGTAAAATCTTTGAATGGATCTCTTTCTTTGTAATGAATACTTGAATTCCTCTTTGTGATACTGTTGACAATGATTAAAATCATATACATTCTTATTCTTTCTTAAAATACTTAAATAAAAGTTAAAATATATGTTGGAATTAATTGAGAAGTCAGCCCAAGGAGCAGCTGAAGAAAGAGGAAGACCTGCTGGATGTGGAATGTGTGGGCAGGAAATGTGAAGTATGTGCTATATATTAAAGTTGTACCAGTAATAATACTATGTGAACTAGTACTAAAGATCACAGTGGTATTTTCCGAGATGTGGCAAATTTGCTGTTCTAAATCGTGATACATGATAGTGTTGAATCATGATTGACCTTGGTATTTTATTGGTTATTGAAAAATCTGTATCGTAATGTGGAGGTTTAACAAGAGCATGTACCTCTTTCTTGGATGTAAATTTGGTGTGGGAGGCAGTGGGGATGAAACCAAGCAGAGGAGAGGAGCAGCCACATCTAACAGACTATGGAGTCCACCTTTGTAGGTAGGAGAGGATGTGATCTGTCCTTCAAGGGGACATCACTTCAGCAGCTCCACTCCTAGCCATACTCTTCATCTTCCTTTAAAAGAGGTGAGATGCCTACTTGCCTAGTCTCCCAAAACATATCTTAATTCACCGTCAGAAAATCTTGCAAGGTTGCCTGCATTCTCTCATCTTGTCTCTACTGCATACTTCTCTAGTGACTTGTCACCTTTGATTCCGCTAAGCCTTCTTAAGTTCATCAACCTGGCACTTTAAAAAGCTCTTTCAGATCTTTCAGAGGGATATCCCAACTGTAGCTCCCTCTTCTGAAATTGTAGCAGTAGAGTGGAGCACTCCTATGTCATAAGGAAGGATTTTGGTTTTGGTGGTATTTTAAAGGGGAAAAACAGAACCACTGATATTCACTATTTCTAAGTTACATTTATTTAAAATGGATCTTTTGAAACTAAAAATTCCTTAAAGATTTTCACTGTACTCAGCATATTTGCATGATGAGGCACGATGGAATAGGTTGAGAGTAAGGGCCATGCTCTGTTGAGAGTAAGGGTCATGCTCTCTTGTGCTGAGAGATTAAAATATGCCAAAATCTTCACTACTTGTTTCCTGTTTGAATTTTCAATTTCTTAGTTTGTTACTGTCATTTATTCCCATAGTTACGTAGTTATCTTTTCCCCTTTGCTTGTAGAATTCATCAGTCATCATGGAAGATGGACTTGTTCAGGATGAGTTTTCTGAGAGTGTGAAAATGAGCACTTACCTTGTTGCATTCATTGTTGGGGAGATGAAGAACCTGAGTCAGGATGTAAATGGAACCCTGGTATGTTGTTGTAGTAATTGTCTTGAAAGCCTGTTTCATAAGAGGTTAAGAGGAATTCTTTAATGATTTCTGATAACTTCTTTATGAAGGAAAATAAGCTTTTTAAAAAAAATTTTAAATTTAAATTCAGTTAATTAACATATAATGTATTATTTGTTTCAGGGTACAGGTCTGTGATTCATCAGTCTTACATATTACCCAGTGCTCATTACAACACATACCCTCCCCAGTGTCCATCACCCAGTTACCCCATCCCTCCCCGGCCCTCCCCTCCAGCAACCCTCGGTTTATTTCCTATGATTTAAAGTCTCTTAGGGTTTGTCTCCCTGGTTTCATCTTGTTTCATTTTTTCCTCTCTTACCCTATGATCCTCTGCCTTGTTTCTTAAATTCCACATAGGAAAGTAAGCTTTAGATCACAACTCTGACTAGTGGTTACCATATTGGATATCATGGATATCAGTGAGATATCACCTCACAACCGTTAGAATGACTGCCATTAAAAAGGTGAGAGTTAGCAAATGCTGGCGAAGACGTGGAGAAAAGGGGAACCCTTGTGCACTGTTGGTGGAATGTAAATTGATAAAGCCACTATGGAAAGCAGTGTGGAGGTTCCTCAAAAAATTAAAAATAGAACTACCATATGATCCAGCAATCCCACTTCTGGGTATACATCCAAAGGGAATGTAATCAGGATCTCAAAGAGATATCTGCACCCTGTCTATCGTAGGATTATTCACAATAGCCAAGATATGGAAACAACCAAAATGTCTGTCTGCAGATGAATGGATAAAAAAGGTGTGGTAAACGTACTATGGATTATTATTTAGCCATGAGAAAGAAGGAAATCCTTCCATTTGCAACAACATGGATGGACCTAGACGGCATTATGTTAACTGACATAAATAACATAAATTAAAAGACAAAGACTGTATATATTATCTCACTTATATGAGGAATCTAAGAAAGCTGAAACTCTTAGAGACTAGAATGGTGGTTTCCAGGGTCTGAGTGGTGGGGGGAAATAGGAAAATGTTGGTCCAAGAGTACAAACTTCCAGTTATAAGTTTGGGATCTAATGTACAGCGTGGTGATTGTAGTTAGGAATACTGCGTTATATGCTTGAAAGCTGCTGAGAGACTAGATCTTAAAAGTTCTTATCACAAAAAAGAATTGGTAATTATGTGAGGTGATGGAGATGTCTTAATTAATACTACTGTGGTAATCATTTCATGATATAAAAGTGTATCAAAGCAACACATTACACACCTTAAACTTTCACAATGTTATATGTTAATTATATTGGTAAAGTTGTAAAAAAATTAAATTTAAAATTCACTTCTTCAAGTCTCAGTAGCTACATTTCTAGTGTTCTTGTGATTAGTGGTTACCATATTGGATATCATGGATATTGAACATTCCCATCAATGCAGAAAATTTTATGAGACCACACTAAATCTTAAACATTGGTGCAGACTTGAGATAGTGTACAAATGTAGTTAGAAGAGACACTCCAGGTTATAAAAGTTAATTTAATCTTCCTTTTTTAAAAAGCAAGTCCAGATTGAGTTTTCTTAGAATAATGAGTAAGATTGTCTTGTGTTCTATAATTTGTAAAAATTGATAATTTGTTCTAATTAGACTCTTCTGTTTTTCTTTGTCATTAGTCTCTGTAAATGATTATTTGTTTAGATTTTATGCTTTAATTTCACAGTAGAGACCTAGTTAATATTTTCATACACTGACAATATAGGAGAAAGGGTCTTAACTAAAAATGATTATTCTTCATGATAGAAATATGATAATTAAAAAATTTTTTTTCATATTTTTGTTCATCCCAGGGAATATTTTCTACCCATTGAACACATTCAGTTGGATCTGGCTTTCCTTTCTAGATTAAGAGCTTTATTTTAATCACATTATATTTAAATTTTGCTAATTAAAAAGATACACTCATTCTGTTAGAAAAGCTTATGATGTCTACGCATAACTCTTAGAGGTAAGGGCAGAGGTGAGGATTATGTGGCTTATCATCAGTAGTGATACCCTATGCTATTACGCTCAGCAGTAAAGGATGAGAACTACTCACGAAGTTTCAGTGTTCAAGGGTAAGTGTAGACTACGTAGTGACCAAGTGCTCAAGTGATTTACAAACCTTTGGCCTGAAAGAGTTTTTGTCAAGTCTAAACCAAAGAATTTTTCAGAATTCTTTGGAAAGGATATTGAGATTGGTTTAAATCTGATAAAATTAATTTAATTTTTCTTCAAGTGTCACACCACAGATTTAGCTCTTGATTCAGATGTTGCAGCCTGGACAAAATCCAAAAGGCTCAATCAAGGAGAGTCAGGTTTGCTTCTTCAAAACACAGCTGAATACCATCCTCTCCTTGAAGCTGTTCATTCTTTCCCCAGCTGGCATTAATCATTCCCTCTGCGATTTTTCATAGCACTTTAGTTACATCTCTGTTGTAATTATCACACTCTTTGATATAAAACCCCCAGCACTTTTTATTGTATCCCAAAATATATGCAAGCTTGGCTTTTTCTTTCCTCTCTGTCCTCCCTCCCTTCCTCCTTCCTTCTTACTGCCTCTAGGATTACATTCAAACTCATCATTCTGATCTTCAAGGCTCTCTTATAAATCCGCCTGTATTTCTTATTACTCCAGTATGGATTCTTCAGTCTAGCCAAGCTGAAGTATTCACTGCTCAGATATGTACCTTATTCTCATATATAGAGAGAGGGGCAGGGGAAATGGAGAAAAAGGGAAAGGGATTGAGAGAGGGGAATTTGGGGTGGCTTTTTTTTCCCTTTAATTTATGTGTATTATGAAGCAACATGATTAAACATGGACTCTGGAGTCCCTCCTTTACAGCTTACTGGAATGTGCTCCTGGGCAGATTCCTCTGTAATCCTGTCTAAACCTCACCTTCTACAAATCTAGTACTGTATTGCCTATACCTCCCAAGGATTAAACGGTAAAAATATTTTGTAAAATATTTAGTGCTTGGGAGATAGTAGCACACACACACACACACATATACAAAGTGCACTTCTTTTATCCATATGCAAACATTCTGAACTTCCTTGTATGTCTGTAAAGTCATAACTTTTAATCCTACCCAGCATATATTTCAAAATGTGTTTTGGATAAAAGTTGTTATACAAATGAACAATTGTTTCATTAATTTATTAGGATGAGGGAAGACTCTAACATGCATGGAGCTCTCTCTGTGCTGGCTCCTGTCTTAGGCACTCATTCATAAATACCTTTTCATTTTGTAAACCACAGGGGAGGGAAGCATGAATCCCATATTGCTGATGAAGAAACAGTATCTCAGGGGGGTTATGTAATCAACCCAAGATTACATCGTAAGTGACGGTCAGGATTGTACTGTCCCCCACAATATGCTGCTGCTTCCACCCAGGGACAGAAATAACTTCTGTATGTATGGTGACCAGAAATTTGGACTTGAAGTCTAACAAAGGATTTTTCTTACACTAAAATGTTGTAATCTATAGGATGGATTCTATTTTGTAGTATTTGACATTAGGCCTATTTCACAAGATTCAGGAATAAGGCAGTAGGGCTTTACTTACCAATGTCAGTCTTACCAAACAACTAGAAATGTCAGTAATTAAACATGCTCTCTTTAGTGATAAGGATTACGACATTGTCAAAGTTTTAAAGAAAGAAGAACATTTTTTTTTTAATCATTTCTCTGTGTTCTTCACTGTTCGTTACACCTCTTTTTGTGTTCAAGAATGCCAGAATTACCTAGAACATTCCAGGCCAGTTTGGAAATACACTGCTTTGTCTTGAGGTTTTTGTTTTGTTTTTGCCATTGCCTGATTTTGTTTTTACCACAGACAGGTCTAACTTGTAGAATCAGAATGCAGTGGTGGTTAGTAAGATGTGGACACCATGTTTTAAGTTGTAAGTCTTAAGGTCTGAGTGCTAATTGACTTCCATTTGACGGTGTTCAGAGTGCTCTTATCAAGCCCAGAATACTGGTCAAGACTTTTTGTTTTTGTTGAATTAGTTTGTTCTGTTTCTTACTGCTTCTGTTGCTCTTAAAACAAGCTTGATAATAATTATAATGACCAGATGATTTATCTCTAGTGAGAACTCATAGCACATCTTCTTTTAAGGAAAAAAAAAAAAGTAGAAGGGAAGAGAAAATACCAAACTACCTTTTTTCTTAATCATTGTATTTCAGAAATGGAACTAAGTGGATCCCTGGGTCAGATTTTAGTTTCATGTGTTCTTCTTTTTCCTCCTTTACTTTTCCGCTAAGGAAAGGTGCTTTCAAACCTAGAGAGAGGGGTGGCCAAATGGTATGTGTGGCAGAAGGATGTTGGAGGAGGAATCTGGGGGATTATGGGTGGAATTTCCATTGGGATAACATCTTCAAGGTTAATGTGTTGACTGTAATATAAAATGTGTGTTTCTGGAAAGAATAGGCAGAGATAATGAAGATTTGTCTCAAAATTCCTAGTGATCTTGGTATAGTCATTTACAGTGGAAGTTAGAGACTGTAAAAGATTATGTCAGGCTTTCCCCACTGTCCACGAACATTGACGTCAGAGGGGAAAGATGCACACAGATGTGTCAGAGGGGAAGTACACACATCAATGGAATGAGCTTATAGTTCCTTTGGCAGGTAGTTACTGCATTCAATAAACTGGTCACAGCTCTTTACCAAGGGCTGCAGATGGTAGAGTGCTGGGCTGGTGAAGTTCTCTTGGCCACATGAGGCGGGAGATTAAATTTCTTCCATAGTTCCCTTAGAAAGCTAACATAGTTTTAACTGATTAACTCCAGTCCTAGATAGGTTATTTTTCCAGTAACTGTTGGCACAAATGCTCTACTCACACATATTTTGCCCCATTTCTGTTGGGACTGTATTTTTAATAATGATAATAATTACCATTTATTGAACACTTACATCATGTCATGCACTAGTCTAAGTTCTATATATGTATTAGCCCATTTAATCTTCCCAGCAACCCAGTGAGGGTAGGAGTTACTTTTATCACCTTTTTGCCGATAAGGAGACTGAGGTTAACCAACCTGCTCAAGGTCACACAACTAGCAGAGATTTGTTTTTTGTTTACTTAAATTTTTTTTTAACTTTAATTTCTAGGCCATGTTACCTCCATGTTTTTTGTGATTAACTCTAGACTAAAGCCCCATCTAAGGACAACTATGACTGAAATCTGTTTGACCTTTTAGAAATTGTCGACAGTTTTTTCGTCCTTTAATGAGAGAATTAAATTAGAGTTCACCAGTGCATTTTGTCCAAGTGATGTAAGTCTCTATTTCCCACCAGTTGAGATTTTTTTTTTTAAGTTTTTATTTTCTGCTATGTCTTGGCCATATCTCACATTCCCAGGTGAGTATAGAGGGCTTTTTTTTTTTAGTCAACTGAAAAACAACAAATAATGCCTTTTAAAACCCATTGTTTTTAACATAATTGCTTAAAATTTGCCTTTTAATACTTATTGAATAAGATGTTTATAGTTAGTCACAGCTTAGGTGTTTAACTTATACACTTAGTCAGAAAAAGAGAGAAAGAATAGCAATTTAAATGACTTGGGTGATTGGATCTGCCTCCCCTCTTTGTGAGCATGTATCCTGAAGGGAATGGGCAATGGGAATATGAATTTACATCTCCTTAGTTGGTTTTAGTTACTGTGTGCCACTCATTGAGCATTGGATTCTGTTTGGTATGATTATTTCTTCTACAACATGATCCATGAAGACAAGCCAACAACTGGAAAAAAGTAAGCTATCCTGAGGCTGGAAGAAAAACAATCTGTGCCGTACTTACTGACAGAGCATGCATTGGTCTGTAATAGGCTTTTCCAGGGTAATTTCAACAAATGTGCAATTTCTGCCTTATATGTTTGCTTTAGAACTAACTCCCTGATGTGACTCCTCTGTATTGGGTGCCTATTTGATGCCAGGTACTGTAATAGGTGCTTAAAAGGTGAAAATTTGTTTTGTCCTTCAAATATTTCAGTCTTGATAGCTCATAGGTAAGGAAAGGCAACTTTAGGTAATGGAAAAGACAAGTATCATAAAATTGATAGGCAAATGCTTGTGTGTTGCTATAATACGACCCAAAATAGTTTATTTGGGATGTTCTGTTAACTTAAATCAATACGTTTTTAAACATTGTGGTATGTGTGGAAGTGACTTGCTAAATTCTCCAGGGGCTAAAAGAATTGGAAGCAAGAGTTTCTGTCCTGTTAAAATCTCATAAAACTCTTCTCAGTTCTCACATATGCTTCACAGTATTCACCTGATATCATGCCATTTTGGTTTTCCCTGTCTTTATATATATATATATATATATATATATATATATATGTTTTCTTTTAGGTATCTATATATGCTGTACCAGAAAAGATTGGTCAAGTTCACCATGCCTTGGAAACAACTGTGAAGCTTCTTGAATTCTATCAAAATTACTTTGAAATTCAATACCCACTTAAGAAATTGGGTAAGAATCAAGCAGTGCCTCTGATTTTCATTACCATTATAACCTAGATTCATTTTACAAATATTTTGTAGAAAACTTTTGCCAAAGTTATTTTAAAAGAAAACTAAGAAACACTTAAATCTTTAAAAATTGTCTATATTTAAGATTATTCAGATTCCATGAAAGCATCTGAATGTGGAGCTTGAAACATTTAGTTTATGGGGCTATAACAAGGGCTTATACAGGTGCTGTGTAAGTGGGAATTTGCTTAGGGCTTAGTCTGGAGTTTGACTAATTCTAACCTCCTAAGAAATTCCTGATGCAAATAACAAAAACTGAGTATTGGGAGCTCAGGAAAGCAAGAGCAGGTCAGAGCTGTTTAACCTGGAGCTAGATAGAGGTATGTTGGATCTGCACTTTATCCTCCTTGCTCTAGAAAGTTGATTCATTGTGAAGGAATTAGGTTTCTCTTCCTTTGCTAAGTGACAGAGGAACAGTGATTCTATAGGGATGGTTCAGGTCTTTCTCAACTGACTGACAGGGGGGGAGCATACAAGACAAGAGTAGGGTTCCATTTGCTGAGTATAGAAGGACCTCACCGCCTCTTGATACACAGTGATAAACCAATGGGTAAAATATTTTTATTTAGGGAGTGCCCTAGATGAAGGAAAGTTGATGACTTCTTTCTTCTTATGTCCAGATTTGGTGGCTATTCCTGACTTTGAAGCAGGAGCAATGGAAAATTGGGGTTTGCTCACCTTCCGAGAAGAAACACTTCTGTATGACAATAATACTTCTTCAGTAGCGGACAGAAAACTGGTTACTAAAATTATTGCTCATGAGCTATCCCATCAGGTATTAGTAGCCAAGGATATTATATTTCATACCTCTGTTTTATATCCTAGAGTTTTAGAGTAGAATTAGATGCTAATAAGAAATTCAGCTTTTTATTGTAGTATTGCCTTCTTCATAATAAAATGGTGTTTTCTAACACAAACTTGATTTTCAAATGAAAATGCTATCTAATGTTTATATAGGATTTTACAGTATATAAAGCATTTGCACTTCCATTATCTCACTTTTCATAACTGCTCTGAGGTAGGTGATAATCCCATTTTACAAATGTGGAAACTGAGATTCAGTTTAAGTAAATGACTTACCCAAAGTCACATAGTTAATACTTGGCAGCGGTGGGCTTGAAAAGCCACTGTCTACTCAAGACCTGCCTCTCCTTTCTTGCCCTGTAATGACGGAGAGCTGTTTCACCCCGACAGATGTCGGCTGCTCAGTATAGCTTTGTGGTGGAGAGACACTTCCCCTAAATTTCACTGTTCTCACAACTCTTGGACTATAGTTGTCGGGACTAGATTTATGTTTCCTTCTGCTCAAACTGTGTTCTTTGTTAAGTTGGGAGAGGGAGGGTACTCTTTGTATGACAAGGAGAAAAAGAAAGAAAATTAACGTGGGTATGTGAACATCATGTTTTCTTCCCCAACACCTTGTCTTTGTTTTGTCCCTTGCTGAGGGACTTAACAGTGTTGGGTATAGTTTGGGGGTGTCATGATGGAAGGGGGGCGTGGAAGAAGAGTAGCACATGCTCTGGTCAGTTTGCTCCCTGTCTCAAACACCATATGTGTGCAACTCTAGAGCCCTTGTGAACACTTCATAACTAGCTGACATCTGAAACACATCCTTATTGACAGTTATGGTTTTGGGCATGTAGCCAAGTTGTCCTTTAGGGGATGTCCTCTAGGTCTGTTATGCCTGGGGCCACCCATCACCACTTCTGTTACTTCTACTTTAAGACTTAGAAATCATATTCCTCTGAAACAGGCTTAAAGATAATATCTTTGAAAAGCATGTTATTGCAATTCTCAAAAGTGTTTCATTTCAATACCTAGTAACATTATTTTGCTGCTGGTTTGAGATGAGCCCTAGGCCACACTAAATGGCGTACCTACCTGTTACCTACCACTCTCAATTTCGGGGATTTTTGAGATACATTTTTTTTAGGAGAGCCTCCTATCATTGTTTTCCTTCTTATTGTTCTATCATAGAAGAAGATATTTGAAGATCTTTCTGATTTCCTTTATTTATATGCATGCCACCTATCTTAAGGAACATTACTTCTGTTTTGAATCCTGTAAATACCGTCCTCTGCTCAGGTGACTGAGGACAAACATGAAGCATGGGCTGTGTAGGAAAATCTGTCACATACAAGTTTATTTCTTAGTTGTCATGGATGGTTGTAGATAGAATGGAAATAATCTTACTAACTTGACATTAGAAGGTATAAGAATTCCATTATCTAGGAAATAACACCTTTAATGAAGTGGCTAAAAACTGTTTTTATTTACCTAGTAAATACACAGTGTGTGTGTTAATTTGATAAATATGCTAATTGTGTTTCTTGCTTGTTTTCCCATTCAACAGAGTAAAATAATAAAATTTTTATTTTCATTTTAGAGTGAATGTATACAAATTTTCTTGTAAATCTTTAATTTGAACATAGTTTCTTTTTACTAATACCTGTATTTTTAAGTAATTATAATCTGGGTATAGGTGATTAATCTGACAATTCAGTTATTAGAACATTTTTAAGAGTGTAAATATTGTGTTGGTTAGTAGTTTGTTTTTTCCCCATAGTGGTTTGGTAATCTGGTCACAATGGAGTGGTGGAACGATCTGTGGCTAAATGAAGGGTTTGCTACTTTCATGGAGTATTTCTCTTTGGAAAAAATATTCAAAGAGCTCTCCAGTGTAAGTACACCGTTTGTTACACGTACTAGCATATTTGCCATTTGGAGAAATGAAAGTATTTCTAGAAAGATAAAATAAAATTGATCCTTGTTACTGATAAATCTTCTACCTCTTGAGATTTGACAGTGAAAATTAAGCTTTTATTTATACATTTCATTGAAAGCTGAAGTTATGCGAAATTATTTTATACTTTGTTAAGATGAACATTTTAAATCACTTTGCTACATTTTATTTTTAAGACATGTGGCCCTACTCCCTGAAGGAATTTAGATAAAGTTGAAAAGTCTTTTTTGCAAAACAAAACTTTTTATCGTTTGTATAAAGAGAGAAAAAAATTAAGACATTTGATAGCAATGCTATCTCTCTGTTATTACTGTGATCCTTCTTGTCACAGTGATACATAGATTGATACAGACAAATAATTTGCCCTGTTAAGGTACAAAAGCATATTTTGTGCCCTTTTCAAAGACTTGGGACATCATTCTGTCATAGAGAACATAATAATGATACTGTGTTATTAGACCCTGGAGATGTTTCCTATCCTTATAGATATTTGAACACACCAGGCCATGGTACAATAGGTATTGCCAAATAATCCAAACAATAGGTGGGAGAGTATAAATAAAGATCCCATTCAACCCTAAAATTTTATGACTTTGTATTAAACCTCCTGGATATATGATCCAAGACTGCTTCAAAAAGGGGTATTCTTAAGCGCTTTTAATTTGAAATTTTTGTGTAAGGCCTGTTCAAAAACTTCAGGGGGATAGAAGGAACTCCTTTTTAACTAGAATACTAAGCAAAGTATTCTAAATTTATGTATGTTAATTAAGCAGTGAGATATACAGTTTCACCACTTGGTGGTGCCCAGAATGTTTAAAACATTCTAATGTATATTCTAGGGGAGCTTCTCTGCTGAGCTATCAGTGAATTCTATTTAAGTGTTACGCTTTATTTCAAATGAACCTCGGTTAAGGGAAATGTATATTATCTTAATAGAAACCTGGACCATACATGAGAAGTTGGCTTAATGACCAGTTTTTATTTTTGTTTTTTAATTTCAGATGTTATTTTAAAAATATACACTAACCATTTTAGAATATTTACTTTGATTTTCTATCTGGATTTGACACATTTGGTTGCTTTAGTAATCGAGTCTTAATTTATCCTTATGGTGTGGTTTAAGAAACAATGTTTTTCATGTGGCTAGGGGGCTATAATTTTATTTTTAAATTTAAGGAATATCAATGAAATTTGCTCTATTCCTACATTTTCAAAAGCTTATTTTCTGAAGTTTAGTGAAGATGGTTTCTTTTATAATGACCTTAAACAGTAATTAGTCTAATTCATATAAATAATTACTATACTTGCCTTTGCCTTTGATACTTTTCATAGTTTCCTAATCTATTTGATGTTTTTGCTAGTATGAAGATTTCTTAGATGCTCGATTTAAAACCATGAAGAAAGATTCGCTGAATTCATCTCATCCAATATCATCATCATCTGTTGAGTCTTCAGAACAGATTGAAGAAATGTTTGATTCTCTTTCCTATTTTAAGGTACTGCTCTCCACACTAAATACCTGGAGTGGGTTTCAAATTAATTTCATATGTGAGCAAGCTGCATGATTTAGATTACTTTAAAGATTAAAGATTATTTTAAAATTATTTTCACGTATGCTTTTAAACTCTAAGATGTTTGCCTATATTTAAATCTTGGTTTTAACTTTTCTGGGTTTTTCTCTATTTCTCTGTTCTCATTTAAGTTCTCTGACTGCTCTTCTGGGCAGTTAATCAGATCATACAGCAATATATCTTTTAAAGTTGGTTCAGTCTCCAGATCTACAGGTAGAATATACCCAGGGAGCATTCTAAGCAAGCCCTTGGCTGGGTTATTGAGAATTGAGGCAAGTTCCAAAGTCAAATTGCCAAAACGGGTAAATAAAAAGAGATTGTAAGAACTGAAAACTAGATTGTAGGATCAGAAACACAGACTCCAGGTTTGGGAGTGAAGCAAAAACAGAAAACTAGAAACCTGATTAGGATCACCATAGGTCAGGGACACCTGGGTGGCTCAGATGGCTGAGCGTCTGCCTTTGGCTCAGGTCATGATCTTTGAGTCCTGGGATTGAGCCTTGGTTGGTCGGGCTTCCTGCTCAGCGGGGAGTGTGCTTCTCCCTCTCCTGCTGCAGCTTCCGCCCACCCCTGCTCTCTCTCAAATGAGTAAATAAAATCTTAAAAAAAAAAAAAAAGGATCACCGTAGGTCAGAGAACAGAACAGTGCCACTCACAGTTTTGGTGGGAGTCATGAATGTTTGGACTTACTTGCCTCCTTGCTGTGGCTGTCAGATTAATTGATTAATAAATGAATTCCTGTACTGGACAGAGAAATACATGAAACATGTGAGATGCAGTCCATATCATCAAGAAACTTGAAGTTTAGGTAGTGGGTACTTGTGAAGCAATGAGATGATGTGTGTGGAATAAATGGTGTAGACTTTTTTTACCTAGGATTATGAAGAGAACTTTTTTGGAGGAAAATGGAGATTGAAGGGAATTAAAAAATAAAAAGAATGCAGATAAAAAGGAATGGGAAGCACTGAGTAGGGCAGGAATGAGGCAGTGAAGTCTACAAAGAAAAAGTCAGGAACACTAATGGGCAAGACATTTTTGTTTAGGGAGTAAATGCTTGACTGCGGTGTAAGCCATATGTGGAGTAGGGGAAAGATGAGAAAGGTAGGTTGGGGCAGGAATCTGGACTTTTTTTCTGTGAGCAATGGGAAGCTTTAGAAGATTTTCAAACAGAGGAATTCCTTGATTAAAGTTACTGTTTAGGAAAACTAATTTGTTCCAGCTCACAAAGTAGATTTAAGTGGAGGGAGACCTGAAGTCAGGAAGTTGCTGCTAAAGTCCAAGCATGGTGTGGTCAAAGTGTGAAATTAGGAGTGGTAGTGAAAGTGGAAGGAAAATGATGAATGTAAAAACACTGGGTGGAGGGAAGTTCTGGAAGGATTTAGTGACAGGGTAAGGCAGGTAAACAAAGAGGGAGCCGTATTTTCCAGGTTAACACCCGAATGGCATGGAAAATGGTAGTACTGTTAACAAATAAGGAATCAGGAGTTTAATTAGCTATATTAAATATCTTCCAATCAGAGCTGCTGCTGTGATTTTTAAAGCCCGTATTGGATCTGTTGATAAAATGTTTAAACTTGTGGTTCTGTTCTGCTATAGAACTGTCACTTCAGGATTTGTTTTGACAGAGCTCTGTCATCCTCTGACCCCCACCCGCTAAGCCCCGAATTCAGTGTCTTCTGATCATGTGGTCTCCACAGCATATTCTAACTCCTGTCAGTATGGTAACTACTTATTTCAGGATTTGGGAATCTGGCAAATATCCCACATAACTGGGAAAGTAGGACGCTGAGTAATTTACCAATATTGTATGCAAGAACAAGTAAGCGTCACTAGGGAAATGTGTTGCACAGACATACTCTTTCTGGGTTTTTTAATCTCCAAGCCTAACTCTGATGTAGGTTGTCTGCTGAGATCAACTAGGAAGTAAATTTCTAAAGAAAAGAAAAAAGGTCTCAAATTTAAATGCAGGGGCCACCAAAATGAGGTGGTTCCATGGAGATGAGGATCCAGCAAGAGACTGAGAACGATGGCCAGTGAATAGGGGGAGAATCAAGAGGGGTGACCCAAGGCCAAGTGCAGAAAGACTCTAAAGGGGGAGTGAGTGATCAGTCATATCAAATGCTGCTAGCAGGTTGATAAGATGAGTGTGGGAATTGCTATTGGTTTGACACCATGAAGTTCTCCAGTGACCTTGATAAAAACACTTCCAATGGAGTGGTGGTTTGATGATGGCTCTAGAGAAAGTGGTAAGAGAGCAAATGGAGATGGCAGATGTAGACAGCTCTTTCGAGGAGTTTACTACAAAGGGCAAATAAGAAATAGGGTGATAACGGAAAGAGGCATGGGGTTAAAGAAAGGAAGGACATCTTTTATTTGTTTTTAAATGAGGAATGTTGCATAGTTTTGTTAATGGGAATGTAACAGTAGTTACATTCGCTCCAGGGGCGAAAGGGATCTGTTGGGAACAAGAATGAGTAGGTATTAAATTGATAGAACAAGTAACACCCTGAAGCGTGATGCAGAAAAAAGGGAGTAATCGGTGTTAACTTCCATTGTCTGTATCTGATCATCCTGATGGCTTAATACTGCTACATTTTTACCAGAAGTGAAATTCAAAGACTATTTGAGTTCCTTCTGTTATTAGGTGTTGTGTTAGTCACTGGAATTGAGCTTTTTGGATTTCCCCTCAATTAGCATACAGTCTAGAAGAGGAAATAAATACATATCTATATCTATAAATACATGTTTAAATGTGTATCTATCTAATTGCTCTTGAAGATGGAGAACTGCTTCTATCTCGAAGCAGGGAAGGCTTCACAAAGATGTTTTTTGGAAATGATGACATATTGTTCAGCAACGGTCCAGTGTCACTGAAGAGCCTTAACAGTTGCATGCCGGGTTCGGAATTATTAGTGTATGCTTCCTACCCCGTACATTCATTAGTTCCAAGCATATTTGAAGTGACTTTGCAGGAAGAAGAGAGATCTTGGTTATTTTAGCAACATGATATACTAAAACTTGAAATTAACATACTCCCCAGCAGAATGGCTTTTGGAGTTCTGTTTGTTTATTATCTCTGGCAGTGAACCCATGAATTCAGCTGGTATTGTGAGCACTGAGATAGGAATGGGGATTCCCCAGAAAATGTGGCAAGCTTTTCTATTAAAGATATATTTATAAACACTTAGCTTTTTATCATAACACTGAGACAGGAACTGATCTTTTAATAGAATGAGTACACATGGGAACCTACTCCCATTATTCTTTTGTCAAATCCCTTAAAATAATTTTTCAGACAATTTGAACACAATTCTGATTATATGACAGTAAAAAACTGTATTATAACTGGGTTCTCTATATGTAAGAATATACTTAGAATAATTATATTTTGAATTTTAGGTTTTCAATTCTATAAACCTATTATAATCTATTGTTTCCCCCCTTTTCTCACTTTTTTTTTAATAGGGAGCTTCCCTCTTGTTGATGCTGAAAACTTATCTCAGTGAAGATGTATTTCAACATGCTATTGCTTTTTACCTGCATAATCATAGCTATGCATCCATTCAAAGTGATGATCTGTGGGATAGTTTCAATGAGGTAAGTGACCTGAATACTTTATTTAGTTCTTAGAGAAGAGTTCTTCTATTTATATTTTTATCAAGTATATAACTAAGCTATGGTACCAAGGGTAGTTATTTGAGAGAGAGGGGGATGGAGCACAGAATTAAGGGTCAAGAAATGGAAGTACTCCTCTTAAGTGTTGAGATTATCGTGTGTGGCCTTGTATAACTACTTTTGTTCTATACCTTAGTCTCAATTCCTACTTTGTAGGAAAGTTGCCCTTCCTGAATTAAGATTTCATTACTGTATTTTCATTATTTGATTTTTTTCAAAAATCTGTTTTCCTTTTCTTATTCTTTTGTATCTTTATCTACCTCTGATTCATGATTTTTTTCTTACACTCTGCCCTGCGAATCCTCCTGTCTTCTGTGGCCCTGTTCTACAAGGCCATCCTTACAGACGATATATCACAGGCTGACTGCCATGGGCTACATATTGCCCTTGGATCATTTTGCTGTTTGGATTTTGTTGTGTCTGCAAATGTCCTAACAAGCAGCGCAGTGAGGTTTGAGTTAGGCTTCAGAGCAGTGCACGAACCCAGCCTGCATCATGCATGTATGCTAACTGCATAACCCTTATGAGCATTTCAGTATGTTACCCTGATCCAGATCAATGGTTCTTATGTTTTAGAAGATCACAGACATATTTGAAACTTTGATGACAATTCTGGACATATTCCCAAGAAAAATCACATATATACACAAAGTTTCAAAGTTTTAGGGCCCTGAATTAAGAACTCCTATTCTGGGGGCACCTGGGTGGCACAGTCAGTTCAGCTTCTGACTCTTGGTTTCGGCGCAGGGTCATGGATCTCAGGATCATGAGATTGAGCCCCATGTCAGGCTCCACACTCAGCTCAGAGTCTGCTTAAGACTCTCTCCCTCTGCCCCTCCCCTCTGGGCATGCTTGCTTGCTCTCTCAAATAAGTAAATAAATCTTAAAAAAAAAAAAAAAAAAGAAGGAAAACTCCTTCTCTGAATGTTTTCCGTATACTGTCTCTGCTTACTTGTCTTATCTGAAACCTTACGTTTTCTATCTCTTAACCCCGTGCCCAGAAGATATACCTTCCCTTCTCTCTGAGTTCTCTTTGAGAAGATGGATTAGTCCCTATTACTTAAGAGTTGCTTCCAAATCACTGTTTTTTCTCTTATCATATGGTAATACTTCAATTGAAAGCCACATTATTTACTTTATACTTATTGATTGTCTGCTGACATTTAGAATATATTTCTGCCTTTCTGACTGACTTCAGCTTTTGCATCATAGTGTTTTCCTACCCCAACCTCGTTCCTAACATCATCCTCAGGTCTTTCAGCATCCACATCAGATTATGCACTGGCCTTTTCATTTCTGTCCTGTGTTAAAGGCCCAAAAGTGCCTTTGGCAAAGTTTTTTTTCTTCCCAATCCCTTATCTAGAAATGAATAGATCAGAGCCATGAGAAATGTAATATTAATATTGCAATGAATTTGGATAGATTTGATTCATCTTTTCTGCTTTAAATAAATGGGCATATGGAGGCTGAGGTGAGGCCTGCCATCATGGAACAATACTGTTACCAAACACTTAAAGTACTTAATGATTTTAGGTGCTTGAAGTTCAAATCCTTATGCAACCTAGAAAAATGGTTGGAATTGGGAGGTTAACTCGCCTGCTTTAAAGAGATAGTTGTTCCAGAATTTCTTCTTAATCATTGATACCAGTGTTGTAGGGATGGTGGGCTTTAAAGGGTCTGTGAACCTCTGACACTGGATTCTAGATTGTGTGGATACATGGATGCAGTTTCTGAGAGAGAGCGTCTGCGACTATCAAAACAGGTAATTACTGTTCTCTGGAGAACATCACCTCATGGCACCCGGCCCATTGACATCTTACTCTGCTGCTGTTTTCTGGTACTCCCACAGTATTAGTTCTTTCCAAGATGGACGCTAATATGTATGGAAAGCAGAGGGTCTGGGGAATAAAGAGAGATCTGGACGCAGGCTGACTCACAGGAGAAAGTAGCTGTGCTTCTTACTCTAGAATATTTGTCATGATTCATACCTTCTAAATGGTGGTATTGCGAGCTGAAAGAGTGCTTGTCCCTACTTAGAGATTTAGACAAACACTCAATGTATTTCTTTTTCAATGCAGGGTTTCTCTCACTTTGTCTAGTTATCACTTAGTTCTGTTCCAGGTGACTTTCCTTTTAGCAGCTGCTCATTCCCTTAGATTAGAAGTGTAAATTTGACTCCGTATTCATGCTTCTGGTTTTCTATTAACAGAACAGGTAGTCTTCATAGAATGTGGTAGGCAGAGAGGGAAAGGTACAAACTGTAAAGTTTTTAATCTGTTCATTTTTAAGCAAAAATAATTTATTCTTTTTTTTTATAGATCACAAACAAAACATTAGATGTAAAGAAAATGATGAAAACCTGGACCCTGCAAAAAGGATTTCCTTTAGTGACTGTTCAAAGAAAAGGAAAGGAACTCCATGTACAACAAGAAAGATACTTTTTAAATATGAAGCCTGAAATTCAGCCTTCAGATGCAAGGTACATTCCGGCTTTCTCTTCCTGCTATCTCTTTTGCACCCTTGGGTTAAAGTATTTATAATCACAAGTTCCTATGAAACCTAACAAGATTATCTTTTTTGGAATAGCTTGAAAAATTTCTCCTTCCTGCCAAAAGGGAAAAAAAAGAAAAGACCGAATAAATTATGTGTAACTGACTGAAATACTGGAAAGAGTAATAATCTTCCAATATTTTCCTTTTACAGCTATCTCTGGCATATTCCACTATCCTGTGTCACTGAGGGAAGAAATTACTCAAAATATCCATTGGTATTTTTACTGGACAAGAAATCAGGTTTGACTCTAATTAACTCTTTTCTGATAAGAAATTTTAAACAGCATATTTTTTTTAAAACTCTGACCTAGCAGCAGGAAGGAGACTATACTTTCCAAAGTGTACACTCTCTGAGCTGGTTTTATGAGTCACCTATACAAGATGCGACTAAAGTGAGATTGGTCCGTGTATCATGTATGAAGTTAGTCTTTCTTGTTCATGGGAAATAAGGTATAAAAAGTTGTGCTGAGTGTGCTAGCAGCCTTGGTAGAAAAGAGCAAATGCTGTGTTTTTTTATGTCCTAGATAAATATTATATGTTACCAAGTATAAAGTAGTAGAAGCAGAGCAGTCTCTTAAAGTATGCTCTGCTATCTACTTTCTAGAGGTGAGCTTGGGCAACTGCATTTCAACAAGCACCTTAGGTGATTCTTATGCATGATAAAGGTTGATTCATGATCTAGATTTAGAGTAAATAATCATTACAAAATGTCCTATGAACATAGTATACATATTTTGTTTATAAGAAAGTGGGGCAAGAAATTATGACTGCAAAGAGGGGGATAAGAAAATGTGAAGATTGTATATGTTGTTGGACCCATAGGAGTCTTTGAAAAACAAAATTAAAATGTTGTTTCTGACCATTTGTTAAATACCACTGTGAATGCCACACCATGCACCCTCTTAATTTGCATCCTGAAAAAACATGAAGATCCTGGGTCCTGCAGGAACCATTAGTGATACTGTAGGTTTATGGAAAGGGAAAATTTCTTGTTTGAATTTGTATGTGGTGTTCAAGCCTATATTTTTGAGAGGGGAGTGTAGCCTCGTGGTTAATGGAATGACTTTGGAGCCAGATTGTTTGGTTCTCTTGTATGACTGTAGGTAGTTCTGTGACTCTCTGAGCCTCATTCCCTCAGCTATAGAGTGGAGATAGTGATCATATTTTATAGTGTATGGTAAGGATTGAGTTCATTTATGTGAAGCACCTACAATAATGTCTGGCATGTGTTATGTGCTATATGTTACCTGTTGTTATTCATGTTATTATTAAAAAAGAAATCTTTAAACCTAGTATATCCACATTACATAAAATCTAGAAAATGGAGAACAGATCACATCATCACAACTATTCTCATGATTATTTCCTTCTAATAATTTAAAAAATATTTTTACTTAGTTGATACCGTTGATTTTTATATCTTGCCTTTTAAAAAAAAACATATACAATATTTGATTTCATCTTTCCTTACTGTTGGACACTTGATTCACCATTTGTCTCTATTAAAAAAAAAAGTCTCAGTAAAAATTTAGGGTCTTAAATGTTTTGTCATTATATGAACTTCTTCATAGGAATGCTTCTCAGAAATGGAGACTGTGGTATCTTTTGTGATTGAATATACATTTCTAAGTTGCCTTTCTGTGATGTGGCCATAATTTAAAATGCTGGTTGAGGTATGTGAGCATGCCAGTTGCATTGCAGTTTAAATAGAGTGGAGTGTTAAATCAATCTCATTATTTGAAACGCTAAGAACACTTGATAATGTTATATCTTTGATTAATATAACATAAGCAGAGGTGCAAGGAAGGGCTGCCTTCTTTGTTGAAGACAAAACCCCTTACTTTTAAGTGGCCTTGGAAGGACAGCCCCTGCCTAAAGAAAGGATGCTTAATCCCATCTCCCTTTTTGGACCGATAAGGAAATTCTCCAAACCTCCCAATAGTATATAAGTTTTGGGTGGTGTTAGAAATAATTGGACAATAAGAAATCTGCTTTTATTTACCCTTAACTTTTTTAGCTCAGTTTGTATGTGAGCTTTTAAAGCTCTTTTTAAGATCCACATCCCAAAGTCTAGCTCCTATTTTCCTGGTGTAGCCTTTTCTCCCTCCGCCCTTCCCCGGCACTCTGTGCTTCTGCTGTACAGAAACCGTTTACACACCTCAGCCGTGCTCTCCTGCCCTCACACATGCTGTTTGCCCTCTTGGAAGAACACTTTTGCCTCCCCACTCCCTCGATTTGCTGCTCTTCGTTCTTCAGATCTCAGCATGCCCATTGCTGGGTCCAGGCCACCTTCCCTCCCTCCAGGACAGGTTAGGTGCCTACTTTTGTGTTCTCATACCGCCCTCTACTTTTCTTCTTTTGATACACTGTAAGTGCTGTTTCACTGATGTCTGTCCCCACATTAGATGTGTTCCCCGTTTAAGGGAGAGGTCATGGCTATATGAGGCACCTTTGCGACCTTAGCACCTAGTAGGCGCACAGACATTTTTTAAAATGAATAAATTTTAGTTTGTCATGAGGTGACTCAATTTCAGATCTCACTGTAAAAAGGTTTAGGAAAAGAGCATCCAAAGCCTGATGAAGTGATAACTTCTATTTTCCTTCCTTTGAAAGTATTCTTGATAAAGGGGAATATGCAAAATATATTGTAATATAATTGGTAGAATCTGGAGCTGGAACTGAGGCAACAGATGATGAAAGCAGCGTTGGTTACTTCCTCTTCCCAACTGTCACTCCCCCCGCTGCCGCTGCTGCCATTTTAATTCCTGGCAGTTCAGGTTTTGAGAGTCCACACTGAAAATGTTCTGTCCTCACAAAACAATGATTGGGTCTTCTTGGTTCCTAATGCTCCGGTGAGAAGCACTCTTATTTGAATTGCATTTTAATTTTTTTCTAGTCTCAAAAGAAATGTAGCAGAGACAACAGAGGCTTATTTTTTGCCAGATGCCTTTCGTACAGTGTGTTCTCTTGGCGATGTGTTAAATCTATAGTATATTTCCATGTGTTCTAATGCCAGGGTTGCTGGGTTAGTCCATTTGTTCAATCAAATAGGAGTTATATTTGATCAATATCTTTGTCACTTTCCCCCACATACATGAATTTTGAGTGATTAATAGTTAGGCATAGATGGTGTGAAAGGGGCCATTTTTTCAAGCTATGTATTGAGGAAATTACACTCAAATGGCGAGTGTTTCCCTCCCCCTTCTCTTCCTTTTCACCCCTTTTCCCTCCCCATCCCCTCTCTCATCCACATCTTACTCACACCTAAGCTCCTAAGCTCTTTAACTATAGGAAATCTTTATATTAAGTTGAATGTGAAACGTTCATGATATCACTGTGCCAGAAGGATGTATCTGAAACTAGACCTGTCATTGTCTTTGAATGAAGGGCATATTTGGAAAAAAAGAATAAGGAAGGGCATATAATTAAGATATTTATCATGTACCATCCTTTGCTCTTGCCTTTTCCCCCCTAATAAAATAAAGGAGAATAAAGGGTATTGGAGAAAGGAATGCTTTTGAACAAGAGGGGATGTAGTTCAGCTGTGTATATCGTTCTAGGCCTCCAGAGCAAGATGTGCAGGTGATTTTTCAACTTTGTTGTAAGAACTTGTTTTTTGTTTCTGTGCTTTAATGTTTCTGTATAAAACAGTAGTTGATTTTCATAACTCATTGACAAATGGTTTTTAAAATCACTACTAAATTACTTCATCTGGGCTTCTGCCATACAAGATTGGAGTTATTCTTTTTTAATATTCAATGAACTGTGAAAATTGAACTCTTAATCTCCTAATGATTAAGATAAATTAAAAACATATGAGGGTAGCCTTATCCACATTTGAGCTGTAGGATGTAGTTACCTCCCTTGTGTGCAAAACTATTATTTTTTGATACCTGTGGTTTTAAGGTCTTTCATTCTGGATCATTCAGAAGACCTGAAGGAGACTAATAATGTTGATTCTTTAAATGATAACTCCCCTCTCTCTGCTGTTGGCTGCACTGCTTTGTATTCTGTCATCCAGATGACAGTAATAATTTCAAGTACACTCCCAGCTGCCTTCCTCCTTTTTACCGTCTGGACTTGGCCAAAGTAACAACACGGCAAATTGCTTATCAGCCAAAATACACTGTATTTCAGTATTTTTTTTTATTTTTATTTTTTTTAAAGATTTTATTTATTTATTTGAGAGAGAGAGAATGAGAGATAGAGAGCACGAGAGGGAAGAGGGTCAGAGGGCGAAGCAGACTCCCTGCCGAGCAGGGAGCCCGATGTGGGACTCGATCCCGGGACTCCAGGATCATGACCTGAGCCGAAGGCAGTCGCTCAACCAACTGAGCCACCCAGGCGCCCCCACTGTATTTCAGTATTATCCTGCATCCATCCAGTGGAAGAATTGCCATACTTCCATTTCTTGCCTCTTTTTTTGGCAAAGGGAGATTTGGAGCTCCTTAGTCCTCATTCCCAAGGTTCTTTCTTGATAAAAGCTCTGCAGGAAATTGTGTTGGCTGACCTGGAGAACATCGATATTTTTGCCATAGCTAATGATAAAGTTAATTTCATTAGTCATTGTTTTTTAAAACGTCACCAGCCTAGAGCATCTACTTTGTCCTCACCATAATTCCTTAGAACCGTATTCTGCTCTATGAAAAGGAATAAATCCTATTAATGTAGCTGATCTTTCCCATCTGCTGCTGTATCAGCCATAAAACACAAATTAGTATGGAATTTTTTAGTGAAAAAGACTGATTATCTGGTATGTCATGTTAAGACATGAGCAGAATGTAAGTCTTTTCCATATTAAACATCCTTTGTAGTTTCAGTAGAATTGGAGTAACTAAGGTATTAAGAGAATCTGATAAATTTTAATAATTCATGCTTTTGAAGTTTATAGACACTGCAACTTCAGGTACCAAATTTAAATGTGTTCCTAAAGCATTTTATGTGCAAAAACCATCATACAGAGTTATTATGATAGTGAAAAGTTTAAAACAGCCTAAATATTTCCAAATAAGAGATGGGTTAAACTGTGGTAGGTTTTTAGGTGGAATTTATGAAGATATTTGAATACTGCATATGAAGACAGTAGAAAAATGGCTTGGTGTAGAATCTGATGGGTAAAAAAGCAGCATAAGAATAAATGCATATCTATCCACTGTGTGAAATATTACATCAATTAAAAAGTGTATGGGAAAACTCTTGGCATGAAATACACCCTACAAAGCTATTATTGTCTGAATTTAGATTATTTTCCTTGTCTCTGTTCCTCTTCAATAATTTTTAAAACTTAGTACTCCTTACTTTAAAATTGGAATGAAAACTTACTTTGTAAACATCTATAAACCTTATTTAGGTTTGTTTTGGAAACATTTACTTTGACATAGTTATTTTGTTCATTCATTTATTAATTCACCAAGGAATTTTTGAGTATCTGCTAGGAACATTGTTCTGGGCACTGAGGGATTAGCCGTAAACAAAATAGTAAGCTCATGGAACTGTATTCTAATAGTAAATCTGGAGATGCTTAGAGGCATACCCTTAACTATTATATTAAATCCGCGTCTTTGTTGCCAACTTACTTAAAGGACTTTTCTCGATAGTAATTTAAAGGATTTTAAAAATTCCTACATATATTTTGTAGTCAGATTTTGTAGTAATATATTTTTGTAGTCATGTATTTTATAACTCCTTATTAATTGAAATCATTTCATATAAATTTCCAACAATTCTTTTAGCATTTATATATGTAATGGTAGGGACCCAAAAAGTGCATATCACTTTCTTATTATTTTAACTGAGTTATTTGTTTGTGCTTAATGAGATCTTAATCCTCCCCTAATGTTTATTTTTGCTAGCTTTGAATTATGTGACTTTTCTAAATGGCTTCATTTATTCTTCCTCTGGTCTAATAAAAGACAAAGGCTGAGATGGAACACATTTTACATAGTTCTTTCACTATCTTCCCTGCTTCACCCTACACACCCTTACCCTTTCTCCCTGTTTCTCTCCTCCAGCCACAATGAACTCGGGAGTCAGTTCAGTGCATGGACAACATGTACACTTTATCTCTGGGCCTTGAACACTTAGGGTCCCTCATCACCTGCTTAAAACACCTGTATATCTTGAACTCTCAACTTGGATGTCATTTCCTCCCAGAAATCTCTCCTAACCTCCACTAGGTGGTGAAGCATTTCTTCTGTGTTCTTCCATAGAATGCTATGTTTTCTTTTTCCATCAATAACATTTAGATGATACTCTCTTTGCCTGGCTACATTAGAGTAAGATCTGTGGAAGAAGGGGCATTTCTACCTTGTTCACCATTAAATAAATAATTGTTAAATGAATGAGTGGTAAATGGTAGGTATTCATCCTTCTGATGGTTGAGTAATATTCCTCTGTATATATGTACCATATCTTCTTTATCCATTCAGGAGGGCACGTGTTGTGATGAGCATTGGGTGTTATACGCAACTAATGAATAGTTGAATACTACATCAAAAACTAATGATGTACAATATGTTGGCTAAGTGAATTTAAGTAAAAAAAATTTTTTTTAAATGAATGAGTGGTGATCTTTGCTAACATTAAAATAACTGCACTAGAAGGCAAACATTTAGGTTCTTAGTAGAATAATTAAATGTAACAATATACTATATTAACTTTGAAACAAACAAAACGTCCACTCAATACTTTTTCTTCCCCTGTTATCTCTCCTCTCTCTCATTTTTTGGTCTGTATTAGATGTCATCAATCTTACGGAAGAAGTGCAGTGGGTCAAAGTCAATACAAACATGAATGGCTATTATATTGTACATTATGAGGATGATGATTGGGAAGCACTAATCAAACAGCTGAAAGCAAATCCTTATGTCCTGAGTGACAAAGACCGAGCCAGCCTCATCAACAACATCTTTGAACTTGCAGGGTACGTGTGCTTGGTTTGGGTTTGTTTGTTTGTTTTTAAACAAATGTTTTGCTGAAAAGAACACTTTAGAAAAGAAATTCAAAAGAACTAGCACATGTATTGCCTGTTAGGTGTTATTTGTTTTGGATGATTGGGAAGATATAAGATATAATCCTTGCCTTCAGGGGTGTTATAATCTATATAGAAACATCCACTACAAACATAGTGAACAGTTAAATAACAAGATTTAAGTCATATCTTAAGACTTGTCCAAACCAACAAGTAGGACACATATTTGCTGAATAAATTAAGGTAGGAGTTCAGGCTTTATTTCATGAGAGAATTCCTTTCAAATAGCATTTAGTTTAGGCATGAAGCTTAGTGCCCACCGCTGGTTTGAGTGATGGGTCTGAGAGTTGGGGCCTTCTTACTTCTGTACAGCTTGCCTCCTAACCACTCCGTGCATTACAGAGTCCCCAAACCGTGTACGGCAGTGATGTGTATAGATATCCTCTGCGTAGTAAGATTACCAACTTAGGCTGTTAATGGGTCTAGAGACACATGGAATATTCAAAAGTGTTCTTTCTGACTGTGCTTAACCTTCTTATTTTGGTTCATTTTTTATGAAGTGACCTTACATCATCTGAGACATCATTGTTTTGATTTCTCCTAAGTGGTTAATTTTTAAAATATACTCACCATAAATTCACAGTGGACGTTGCTGTAACAAGTTTGACAAATTTCCGTACAAATAATGAAATATTTTCTTTTTGATTCAAATCCTCTTTATGCCACTTGTCCTCACTTGGTAAATATAAATAATAAATAAATAAATAAATAAATAAATAAAATTAGTACTCTTCATCTTTTCCTACTTAAGACAGTGTAATACTTTTCATGAGTCAGTAGCAATTTACAGGTGACTTAGGCAATAAAACTTGAGCTCTTGTGTATCTTTCTCATGAAATGTATCTTTAACCTTGGGTCATACACATGAACTTAATCAAAGATAATAATATTTAGTCTAACTTTGCAGAATTCCACTCTAAGCTTAAATTTTAGTTCTTCAAGACTCACCATCTATTCATAAAGTTTTTCTGCATGCCTATAGAGTTCCTCTCCCTCAGCATATTGACTTTCCTGTTCTATTACCCTTTAGCCTAGGCAAGGTATCTCTTCAGAGGGCCTTTGATTTGATTGATTACCTTGGAAATGAGACCTGTACCGCACCCATCACTGAAGCCCTGTTCCAGACCGGCCTCATCTATAACCTCCTTGAAAAGCTGGGATACATGGATCTGGCCTCAAGAGTAGTGGTAAGTCTCCCTTACTGCCAGTGTGTCTTTGTTGCTTGCCTTTAATGTTGTCATTCACAGTTCTGTTCAGCAGAGTAATAGGCTGAACAAGCAACCAGCCATGGTCCCTTTTCTTCGTTTTCCTAGTTGTGAAATCTTTACTTTGAATCATAATGACATTGCTTACCAGGAAGAGTTGATAAAAGGCTTAGCATAACATGGTCTTGTTTGAATATCAAACTAAAGACTTCTGACCCTGACATCAAAATGAGGTCACATGAAAAGAAACCTTCTCTATTCAAATCCTGGTTCATTTTATATAGTAAATGCTTGAAGTAAGTCCTTTTGCAATGTGGTGTTCCCCATTGGCTTCCAGGTGGTCATTGTGAAATGACAGTGTTGTTTGTTTGTACTGAGAATATTCTGTTTTAGGAGTCCTTACTGTGACCTCTTATGGAGGGTGATGCTGGTGGATATATTTCTCTGCAAAGCACTAAAGGAATCTTGGCATTGGTGACTGCTTTACCTTTTTTTTTTTTTTTTTTTTTTTTCATTTTGCTTTACCTTTTTTAAAACCAGTTGCCTAATTAGTATTAAATTAGATTTAATACTAATCTTTCAGTTTTAAACTGTTGACAGGGTAAAGCTTGGGAGGAAGAGATGAATTCTTTGTTTCATCTTCCTCTCTGAGTCAGCACATTCTGACAATAGGTTTTGCTTTAGAGACCAGTCAGGTTTTCCAGAGACAAGGCAAAAGGCAGCTTTCAGAAAAAGGAAGAAAGTATTGAACCAAAAATTAGAATGTCTGTTAGGGTTTTGGTGTCCTCACTGGTGAAAGGAAGAGGTTGGATTACATCTTTTTTTTTTTTTTCTTTTAAACAACCTCCTTTCTGCCTCTTACCAGGCTGCTGCACATCTTCTGTGATGAGTTCTCCCATCACACACTATTCACAGTGGGGGGAGGCAAGGACAGCTGGTGGGCCGTATAGAGCTTGAGAAGCACCCTTCCCCCCAGGTCTCTGATCTGACCCCAAAGGAGCCACCCATAAGTGTGATGCTTAAGTTAGATGATTTCTTTTTTTTTTTAAGATTTTATTTATTTGAGAGAGTGAGAATGAGAGAGAGAGAGCACGAGAGGGAAGAGGGTCAGAGGGAGAAGCAGACTCCCCGCTGAGCAGGGAGCGCAATGCGGGACTCGATCCCGGGACTCCAGGATCATGACCTGAGCCGAAGGCAGTCTCTTAACCAACTGAGCCACCCAGGTGCCCCAAGTTAGATGATTTCTGAGGTCTTTTCTAATTGTTAAGATTTTTATCATTCTTCTGTATCAGAGGCTCTCTCTTACCATCCTTAATAAAAACCAGTGTCTTCAGAATGTGACTCAGCCCATTGTAAATACTGAGCAAACAAATGAGTGAAACACACCAGAAACATTCATTTTCAGTGCTTGTTATATTCTGCACACCATGCTTAAGTGCTTAATGTAGATTATCTCGTTTAATCCTCACACAATGCCAGACAGATATTTCTACCCCCATTGGATAAGTGGGGGGACTAAATAACTTCCACATCAGTTACATAGTAAATTACGAAGCTGAGCTTCAAACCCAGATTAGTTCCACTCTGAAGCCCAGTTTGTATTATGTTGCTGTATTTTAAATTAATTTGTATTCTAGCAATGTCATCTTTCAAAGGATACCTTTTGGTTGGAAAAATCAAGGCTGTTTCTTTGCTGCTATCATTTTTTAAAACTGAGATTATAAATTAAAACCATTTGAAAAACTTGTAGACCATGTGTTTAAGGTTTAAGATGACAGACCTACATCTAGTGCCCTTGAAAATAAAGTTGTCAACTTAATATTTGAGATTTCTTTTATATCCAAAATGTTAATAAAATTTTTTATAGTATTTGTGTGCATTTCCAAGAAGTATGCAAATAACTTATTGGTCTCTTTAGGAGACACTTAGAATCCAACACCGACTTTGTACTGTTAGTATATGAGATTGGCCTTTTGGTAGCCACTTCAGCTACTATAGATGGACATTTGAGTTGTTTACAGTTTGGAGCTATTACAAATAGCATTTCTATGAATATTCTTATATATATCTTTGTTGCATATATGTATGCATTTCTATGGGGTATGTGTCTGGAAGTGGAATTGCTGAGTCATAACATATTTATAGTTAATACTGTACTATCAAATCGTTGTTCAATGGTGTATCAGTTTGTGCTCCATCAGCAGTGCATGAGAATTTGAGTTCTATTTTGGCTCTATATCCTTGTCAACACTTTGTATTAATAGTAATCTTTTTCCTTTTAGCCAACCAGATGGATGCATAGTGATATTGCAATTTTGGCTTTAATTTGTATTTCCCGGGTGCCTGGGTGGTTCAGTTGGTTAAGCATCTGCCTTCTGCTCAGGTCACGATCCTGGAGTCCCAGGATCGAGTCCCACATCGGGCTCCCTGCTCAGTGGGGAGTCTGTTTTTCCCTCTGCCCCTCACCCCACTCTCGTGCTCTCTGTCTCAAATAAATAAATAAATAAAATCTTTAAAAAAACTTTGTATTTCCCTAATGACTAGTGAAGATGAATTCCTTTTGATTTGTTTATTGACCATTGGAGGTACACTTTGGTTAAGTGCCCAGGTCTTTAACGTTTTTTCTATTGGATTTTCTGCCTTTTTCTGATTGATTTGTAGAGCTCTTTATATATTCAAGATAGGAGTCCTTTGTTGCTCATGTACATTTGCAAGTATCTTCTCCCCCTCAGGCTTGCTTTTTCAGTCTCTTAATGATGTTTTTTGATTAGTGTAAATTCTTAATTTTTGTGTATGAAATCTGCCAACCCACAGGTATTCTCCTTTGTTCTCTTCTGAAAACTTTATGATTTTACCTTACACATTTAGAACTATGATCCATCTGGAATTGATTTTTGTGTATGGTATGAGTTAGACACAAAGATTCTTTTTTTTTGATATGGCCATCCAGTTGATCCAGCACCAGTGTGCTTCATTGTATACATAGATTTTTTTTACTATTGAATTTTATGATTACTTTGGAGGTTATTAGTGCTATATCAAATCAACACCATTTGGGGTAGTAATTTAGTTTCCTTCGGCTGCCATAATAAGTTAGTACAAACTTACTGTCTTAAAACAACAGAAACATATTCTCTCACAGTTCTGGAAGCTAGAAGGCCAAAATTAAGGTGTTGGCAGGGCAGATGGATTCCTTCTGAGGGAGAATCTCTTCTTGCATCTCTCCTAGATTCGGGTGGTTGCCAGCAGTACTTAGCATTCCTTAGCTTCTAGATGCATCACTACAATTTCTGCCTCTGTCTTGACATAACATTCTCTCTTTGTTTCTGTGTCCAAATTTCCCTGTTCTTATATATGCACCAGTCAGTAGATTTGGGCCCACCATAATTCAGTATGACCTTATCTTAAATCGATTACATCTGCAAAAACCTATTCCCAAATAAGTTTACATTCACAGATTCTAAGCAGACATGAATGTTGGGGGGACACTATTCAACCTAGTATAGGTAGCAATAAATAACTTTAGTACATATCACTCATTTTTTTTTCTTTTTTTTACTATTGAAGGATCATGCTGGTAGTGAATATACTTTAAGAGTTAGCAGAATGTTCTTGAAGCTGCCCAGCTAGTTAAATTTCATGGTGGCAGAAGCCATTCTTCCCCCTGCCTCTCTCCAATAACTTTTGAGAGCCTAATGTCAGAAAGCACTTGATACTTACCTCAGGCTGTCTCTATGCTGTGAACACAGATGCTACATTTCAATCTAAGGATTTAGATCTTTTGAATATTTTCTTTCTTTGACACTCAAGTAACTCTGCGTCATCATCCCAGATGATGATTTCCAGTTTGCTGGGCAGGCATGTATTTATTAAGAACATACGTCAGGCTGGGGCCCAGGGGACGGATGCGTAGAGGACAAGGGCAGGCTTAGTTTGTGTTTGTGAGCCTACGGGCCCTTGTATTGCTGGAGATTTTGTACACTTGATTGTTAGTTAAAAGTCAGGTTAGCGTTAGGTCATCAAGAGGGAGAAACTGTCTCTAAAATTCAGAGGGCGTTCTGGTACCATCAAAGCTCTCAAAATATAAAATCTGATACTATAGTTAGAGATGGAATGGCAGACATTTCTGAGTCCTTGGATCCAATCTTCAAATAGTATTTGTGATTAAGACTGGTGTCTAATTAATTTTTTATATTGTTGTCACCAGGACAATATATTGGTCATTTTGTTATCTAGGCTGCACATACCTATATAACACATACATCTATATCCCATTTTGTGATGTATGCTGTGGTGTTGGGGTGGATAGGGTCTGGAGGCACTTTTGAATTTTGTCAAATCGTTCACATCTGATGTTAACATCTGATCCCAGCCATATTCCTGTTTCATCACTTGCAAGTCTGTCATTCTTTTACATATGAGGGATTGGTGGGGTAAACCTTTTGCAATAAAAGCTGACACTTCACTTTTAAGAAGCTGAGTTGACCCAAGAAAGAACTCCCTGGGCATATCAGTGTAAAATTAAAGCAATAAATCAAAATGTAATACATAATATAAGTGCCACCATCTTTCCTGTCTGTTTTATTTTAAAAATCATTTTGTGTAACTGTTCTTGCATTTTATTGCATACCCAATGTTTGTAGCTTGTATAACCCATCCATTTATTTTCTCTCCCCACTTGCCGTTTTCATTTTATGAAATCAGAGGATCGGATTCTATTGTTTAATGAGTTTAAATTTAAAAAAAAATTAGAACCATGGAAAAACAGGTTCTCTGTTTGAAGCACTTGCTTCAATAAAGAAGCACTTGTTATATGATTTATTAATATTAAAAACATAACCTGGATTACTTAATAAAAATGATAAAGTGGGAATTTTCTAAAAACAGAATTATTTTTAAAATAAAATCTTTTGCTCTGTTATCATTTGAAATATATGTAAAATCAACTCCTTGGGGATTTCATCTTAAATATTTGGTATCAGAAATAACTAGTAAAATTGCACCCTGTAACTCCAGCGGAGTAACTGCTCAGGAACTAGCCTTAGCACCTTCAAGTGTCAGGCTTCCCTTGCTTCCAGTATTTTAATGGGCCATTTTTTTTTTCCTGCTTGTGCCTGTATGTTTTAGTAAACTCTCACTGACATTTTTCTTCACTGAGTTTTTTTTTTTTTTTAGTAGTATCTCAAGCATGTAACTCTTTTTCCTCTCATTCTCCTTTTGTTTCTACTTGACAGTTAGGAGTAGCTTTGAATTTTCTTTTATCCTGTGTTCATTTGGGATGGTTCGCTATCGTGCCTCTGAGAACGTCAGGCCAGCGGCAGACAGCACGTCCAGTGCAGCCGTGTGTGTCCGTAGGATCACCTGCGTTGCTTTCATGTCCCTTGGCTTATCAGTCAGCATGGCAAGTGTTTTTCCACCTCATGTCCTCTCAATAACTCGCAGGCTTTGTTACACATTCCACAAGGTGTCTGTTCTCTATCCCATTGCTTTTGAAGCAAACAAAAGCGAGTTGACATGTTATCACAAACTCTGAGTCCTTCTCCTTGCACAGATTCCTTTTTTTCTTTCTCATAGCTCCACAGGAGACTTACTTAGAGAAGGGCTGCTGAGAAAATGGCGTCAGCAGTTTAAAACGCTCCAACTAGGGTTCATATTAGGTATTGACAGTGGTGCTCTGGAAGAACAAGATGCTCTGTAAAGAACTTGAACTAATTTTCTGGGGCATAGGAGTGTTACAAACCAATGAATCTAGCATATGGGTATTCACTGTGCTCTTCTTGTTGCTTTACTACGGGTCTGAAAATTTTGTAAATATATAGTTGAGGGTGGGGAAATAACTATAAACAACTCTTCTTGCCTGCCCGCCCCATTTTCTTGCTAATTCGATTGGATTAACTTGTTAGATCATCACACTAGTTGATATTTTAAGTATGCCTTTAATATTGCATTCAGAAACATTAAAACATCTACCTGTCAGTAAAGAAGTATATTCTTCTCTCATTGTTTTATGGATTTATGGAGTCTAAAGTCAGAAAGTCCCAACTCGCTTCTGGCAGTGGCAATAGGTGATACTTTTTGGCAGGAAAATATCTTCTCACTGAGTACACACAGAAGACAGGCTCACTACTGCAGTGCAGTCATCAGTTCTTTCTGTGTCATGTAACTAAGAGACACCCCCCGCTCCCCGGCAATAGCAGCCGATGTGTAGTTACTGAATGGTTTCACCCAGCTGTACATGGGCCTCCTCTGTCAGTCGATATTTACTGAGTAATACCTAGGCCCTCCTATTTTCTCCTTGGGTAAACGCTGGGGGATAAAGATCTAGCCATCCTGAGTTTTCTGTGATTGTCCTAATTATTGTTAACAATTTGTCTCTGTAGACCAGGGTATCTAAATTACTTCGAAGCCAAATCCAGCAGCAGACTTGGACTGATGAAGGCTCCCCATGTGCCCGGGAGCTTCGGTCAGTCTTGCTGGAGTTTGCTTGCGTCCACGGCCTTGAGAACTGCAGTGCCACAGCCATGACGCTGTTTGATGACTGGGTGGCCTCCAACGGAACTCAAAGGTGACATGCACTTCTACTCAAATGAGCTCTCTGCCTCTTCCTTACCTTGATATCATATACTGAAACCAGGATCTTGTCATCCTGAGTGTTAACGTAGGTGATGTGTGTACTTGCATTGTCAAACAAGACTGTTTTTTCGAATTGTAGTAAAATATATAAAACATGAAGTTTATTAACATGTTTTAATTGTACAGTTCAGTAGTGTAAGTATATTCACATTGTTGAGCAACGAATCTCCAGCACTTTTTGTCTTGCAAAACTAGAACTCCTTACCCAGACAACTCTCCGTTTTCTCCAGTCCCCAGCCCCTGGCAGCCACTGTTCTCTTTTCTGCTCTGAATACCTTATGTGAGTGAAATGTACAGTATTTGTCTTTGTCTGACTGACTTGTTTCACATGTCCTCAAGGCTCATCCATGTTGTAGCACGTGTTAGAATGTCCTTCCTCTTTAAGGCTGAATTTGTTCGTTATATACACCGTATTTTGTTTATTGCTTCATCCATTGATAGACATTTGAGTTGCTTCCACCTTTTGGCTTTTACAAATAATGCTGCTGTGAACATAGGTATACAAATACCTCTTCAAGACTCTGCTTCCGATTCTTTCGGATCTATACCTAGAAGTGATATTGCTACATCATATGGTAGATCTATTTTTAATTTTTTAAGGTACCACCATATTGTTTTCCATAGTGGTAGCACCATTTTACATTCCCACCAGTAGGGCAGAGGAGTTCCAGTTTCGTCACATCCTCACCAAGGCTTCTTGTTTTCTGCTTTTTCATAGCAGCCATCGGAATGGTTGAGAGCTGTCAAACAAGTCTCTTATAATTTAGGGCTATAACATAGCAAGTGGAGTTAGCAGTTAGTAGACGTTTTTTTTTTTTTAATTTTTATTTATTTATTTGACGGAGAGACACAGTGAGAGAGGGAACACAAGCAGGGGGAGGGGGAGGACTCTGGGACCCAGGACCCTGGGATCATGACCTGAGCTGAAGGCAGATGCTTAATGACTGAGCCACCCAGGCGCCCCAAGTAGACATGTTTTTGATGATGACTGGTTCTCTCCATGTTCCTTACTGGGCATTATGGAAATAGATTTAAGCATCAGATGAGAGTTGGGATGGGGGATTGGGATAACCTTCTGAGGTCTTTTCCAGCTCTGAGATCTTAATAAGGCCAGAAAACTGGGCTTCTTCCCCTCTTATGACCGCTCCCCTCACACCTGCTGCTATATTTCCACCATGGAACTTTCTACACTACGTGGCAATATACTGATTTATTCTGTATGTTGTGATAGCCTCTGAGTTCCTAGAGGGCAGAGACTGCTCAGTGAAGAATTACTGCATTAAGTTGAATTGATATTCTTTATAGTCACACCACCAGGGAAGTAGCAACCCACTGAATTAAATGTTTTCTTGACAATGAGTTGTAAAGACTCTTTTGTTACCTGCTCTGACTCCGCAAGCACCACTAGTCAATTCCTTGCCTTTGTATTCAGGATTTCTTTTCCTTGTTTTTCTCATATTTGTACCTTTCTTACAGCCTACCTACTGATGTCATGAGTACTGTGTTCAAGGTTGGAGCAAAAACAGAGAAAGGCTGGTCATTCCTGTTAAGCAAGTATGTCTCTATAGACTCTGAAGCAGAGAAGAATAAAATACTTGAAGCTCTTGCCAGCTCAGAGGATGTACGGAAACTTTACTGGTACGAAACCACCCAAGCAATATGATATATAGAAACCAAAAGCATAAAGACATGGTGCTCCTAGGTTTGAGGAGCTCATTTTCTCTGGGATCTCCCTCTTTCTGCCTTTCCTTGTGGGCTGGCCTTGACTTGGACGGTGTGGGGGGGAGCCCGCATGTGTTCGGCTTCGTCTCAGGGACTGGACCTGTACAGATGGGCAGGAGGTGCTTTGCCTAAAAGAGATTGGGAGATGCCAAAAATCACAGTCCCCTTCTACTTTGTGCTTAAAAACTTCTTGGTCATTTGGCATGTTGTTTTTGATTCCACAGTTCGTGCTTCATTTTCTTTTTTGGTCAAGGCATTGCTCTCTCCAAGCTATCATTTTGAAAATGCAGAGACTTCAGTACAAGATAACACGTAAAAGCCATAGGTTATACATTCATGTGAATTTGTCAGACCTTTCCTTTTTTTTTTTTTCTTAAAGATTTTATTTATTTAATAGAGAGAGAGCACAAGCAGGGGGAGCAGCAGCGGGACAGGGAGAAGCAGGCTCCCAGCTGAGCAGGGAGCCCGATGTGGGGCTCGATCCCAGGACCCTGGGATCATGACCTGAGCCGAAGGCAGACGCTTGACCAACTGAGCCACCCAGGTGCCCCAGACCTTTCCTTTTTAATATCCAGCGGATGAAGAGCTAGAGATTGTAGGGTCACATGGGGTAAGAAGGGCAGTAGGTAGGGCTTCCTGGCAGGAAGAACAATCAGGGTCAGGGTAGAGGAGCTCTAAGTAACCAGGAGAAATGCGCAAGTATCTTGGCAGTCAGCAGCGGGAAGGAAAGGAGAGGCACTTGGCTCTCATTGCTTCTCTTGCATAACTTTGCTCAGGTAAATCATTCTGTTCCAGAGATGTTCTTAGCACCTGCCCAGACCCACTTTCCAGAGGACGCACTGTAAATAGTCATTTTCTTTAAAGTAGTAGCCAGACTCTGACCCAAGCAAAGAGAGAAAAGTTTTTGTTGTTAAATCAATAATAATTTTGTTTTGAACTAGTAGTACACCGATAAATTCCCCATTATGAAGTACTTAAACAGTACCTGAGGAAACGGAATAAAGTGTGAAAGTCCCTCTCATATGCCCCTTCACTTCCAATCTTATTCTCTTCTCTCTATTAACAGTGTCTGTCCAGGTGTGTATTTTATATATTGAACATAGGTTTCTACTCTAGCTGGTGTTCTGTAACATTCTTTGTAGTGACCAGTCTTTGAGATTTGCCCTGTTCATTCATAAAGCGTATTTGCATTTGTTTCTGTGGCTACACAGTATCGCACAGTATGGCTCTATCAGAATTTATCTAATCCATCACATCTCATTGGGCATTTGGGTTTTTCCTCCCCGTAAAACTCATTCTGCATTCTTTTGGGGATATGTGTTTTCCCGCTCAAAACAGATATTGTAGCACGATAGATGAAAATTGCGTTTGTTTCCATACCAGGCTTTAGTATTCATCAGCTGTGTTAAGTCTGTCAATTTTACATAACCTCAGTTTCTTAAATGGTAACATGGAGATAGGTAATGATTCCCTATTTCAAGCCTTGTTGTGTCAAGAATTTAGAACATAATCTAGTACATATAAAGCCCAGTTTTTTACGAGTAGCAATATACCTATCTACTCATATCAAATAAAGTTTTTAACAACAACAACAAATCCAATCTTCAGAGTTATAATAAACTCTACCTGAATTTATTTCCTAAGTGTCCTTATTGCATCAAGAACTACTGATTATTATGTGACGGTATATTTAAGTCCTTATCTTGTTGGTGAGTTCTCCCTTCATTTAAAAAAATGACAGGTGTTCAATCTGTTGATCAATCTTAGACCAACCCAAAACTTACATGCTGTGAATTGCTTCAGAACCTTAATTAGGAGACCAGCACTGATTTTAAGTTCAGTGATCACTTCATGACAAATACTAATTTTGGAAACTAAATCTGCTTTGCTTTTCAGGTTAATGAAAAATAGCCTCAGTGGAGATATCATCCGAACACAAAAGCTGTCATTCATCATTAGAACAGTTGGCCGACATTTTCCTGGACACTTGTTGGCATGGGATTTTGTCAAAGAGAACTGGAACAAGCTTGTACAGAAGTGAGTTTCTCAGATAACTACTAATTTTTAGTATTCTCCCGTTCTTCATTTGAAACTGTTTCCAATGTTGTGTTGATTCACAGGATTTAAGATCTGGTATGAGAGGAAAAATGTTTCAGTGACAGTTTAACTGAAACACCCAGAAATTTTCACCCTTGTAAATGTAATCCCATAACATGAGTCGTTTGACAGTGGTGCTCCCTTCGGGTACTCATTACGCCCAGCCATGCTTGACACTTAGGTCACTTCACTTCACCTGGCCATGGACTGTTTCAGAATAGCTGTTCAGTTATGTGTGTTGAAAAATACCTCGTCATTGCCAAGGGATTGGAGAGGAACTCACACCCACCCAGACAGCACACGGAGGACTTTTTTGCTTTCAAAATAGTAGTGGCATTTCTGTGGGTAAGGTGTGATTTTTGAATCGATTAAATGAATTCATAATTTATCTGGGTATCCATAACTCCTGCTTCTTTCTGCCACCTTTCCTTCCCACTGGTAGTGAGAGGGCATGTGCGGTTATTTCTGATTTACTGAGCTTCATTACCCAGGAGCAGGACTCCCAGTCCACCTTTGGCCTGTGTAATGTACAGTCAAGTAATTCCTTTGCATTCAGGACATTTGCTTCTCAAAAACTGCCTCATGTTTTTGCTCTTTTTGCTCTTAAATTTTTGTTTCTTCAGGTTTCATCTGGGGTCCTATACCATACAAAGTATTGTTGCTGGGTCAACACACCTGTTTTCAACAAAGGCGCATTTGTCTGAGGTTGGTTGTATAAAATGTTAGCAGGGAGGTTGGGTCACCCTTTCCCCGTAGGCTGCTCAGTCTAAGACAGTGCCTTGTCATGCCAGTTTCTGCCCCTTCTCTCTGTCGGCTGTGGTCAGTGCCCGCGATTCTGCCCTGGGATTATTGCTTAAGGGGGGATACTCAGCAATGAAGACAAATTCTGATGAGGAAGAATTCTGATTCCATTCTCAACAGTATTCCCTCGTCTGCCTGATACAAATCAGTTTTTGAATTGAGACCAGCATATGCCAACTCTCTTTTTAAGTGGTAATAAAATGGTTTTGAAGAATTCCATTCCAAGGGTAGAACTGGGCATTAATTCTAACTTTAGACTACTTCATTTACTGTTATTTGGCTTTTTTTTTTTTTCCATTCTAAACTGGAAAAATTCATCCTTGTGGGCATAAGGGGAATTCATTGTTAAAATTACTTCAGATTTCACCATGTGTGATCAGGAACTTGATGTAAATACTTTGAATATTAAAGTACTTGGGGGCGCCTGGGTGGCTCAGTGGGTTAAGCATCTGCCTTTGGCTCAGGTCATGATCCTGGGGTCCTGGGATTGAGTCCCGTGTCAGGCTTCCTGCTCAGCGGGGAGCCTGCTTCTCCCTCTCCCTGCTCCCCCGCTTTGCTCTTACTCTCTCTTGCTATCTCTCTTTCTCAAATAAATAAATAAAATCTTAAAAAAAAAATTAAAAATAAATAAATAAAGTCCTTCTTGTCTGTACTTCTTCCAAGACCTCAGCATAGCCATGACTCAGTTAAAGCTTATCTGAAAAGGATACTCAGAGTTACCTGTGATTTACTGTTCTTCTTTTGAAATACTTCTGCGTGCAACTTACAGGTCCAGGCGTTCTTTGAAAATCAGTCAGAGGCAACCTTTCGCCTTCGCTGTGTCCAGGAGGCTTTGGAAGTCATCCAGTTGAATATCCGATGGATGGAGAAGAACCTCAAAACTCTGACGTGGTGGCTCTAGCATGCACAGCTGCGCCCCATTTTGTCGCCCATTCAGAGAGCTAGTTAACATGGGCTCTGCTGCTTTAGCAAAAAGCCAAGGTGAAGCCAGAATCGCTGCCGAGTTGTTGGCACTCTTAGGAGTTCTAGTTCGCTCAGGGCCCGTCTGTATTTTTCATCTGTCTTTCTCGAATTGTCTTTGGGCAGTATGTAGTTATTTATTACAAAATTATATTCACCTGTATGCCAACATCTACAAAAACAGTAATTTTTCTACTTTGAAGATACGCAAATGGGGGAAAAACATCTGTTTTGGCATTCTGTTCTGTTTCTCAGTATCCGGAAAGTACTGGCACAGTGCAACAAGGAAGGATCTACCGTGGGAGCCGTCATCCTTGCAGGCGCTGCTTTGTCAGCCATTTGTTGCTTCTTAGTGGTAGACGATAGATGTTACTTGAATGTGGTACAAAACTTAGCTTCAAAAGCTATGGCAATGAAGTCGACGAATCCTACAGCTGTTAGAAAACCGATCTCAGGTGTGCAGATCTACTTTGGTTTGAGGTTTTGATTAATCCTTTATTTTCTGAAACAAAGTTTAAGTAAGATCTATAACTTATATTTTTTTTTCTGCAGGGCAGCCAGGTGCTACAGAATTTTTAAATTTTTGTTGTACTGAAAAGCTAAGTAACAAGGACAAAAGATTAAATTTTCCAAATAGGTAATACTTATTTTTTCATCCTTTAGGAAACTGTTTCAAACTGAGTTAGCTTTAATTATAATTATTTTATTTATGAATTCCAGTATTCTCCAAATCTATACACCTTTATCACTCCCTGCCATAGGTACATCTTACGTTATAGAGGAATATGTCTACACTTATGGCAAGCATTTTGTTAATACTGTTGTCTTTTATCATGACTATCACTGTTACTAGAATTAGTTTAGGTTGCCTTTGACATTACCTGATCATAGACACTTTCTCTGTGAGTCATACTCGTGTAGATTTTCATGTTATATGGTAGCATATATTAGAAGCATATTTTAAGATAGGGTCTTTGAGAAATTGAACATTTTTATTTGAAGTTCACCATAGTACCTTAAAGGAATAAAGAGAATGTGGGATAGGAGTAACTTGATTCAGATTTAATATGGTGGGCTTTGAATTTTTTCTACTATCAAAATAGTACTTTTCTTTAGTTGAAAAATCAGTGGGTTTTGTTTGTTTTATTTTGTTTTTATCATGGCCAAAGTAACTGATTAAAAGGAATGGCCAAGGAAAGAAAGAAAGAAAAGGGAAGATTTCTAAAACTGTATTGCATTTTCACTCCTTGTAAAGGAGAAATACTGTACTTGAATTTTTTGAGCTATGCAGACTTAATATCTAGATTGTTGAGTTTCTTTGATTCTTAGGGGAAAAGCTTTCTTCCTAATAACTGAGTACTTTATATTTTCTTTGAAAACATCTTCTGTGTACATAAAAAGGGTAGATACCCATTTGTGAGCACTTAAAACACTCCAGAGAATCAATTGGAAAGGTCACCTTTTTTAAGTTAGCAGGTATACAGTGAAAATATGTGAGATGGTGTATAAAATTATATTTTACTTTATGAAAGTATTTTTATATAACAAAATTTAAAATGCTGGCAAGCTAAAAGGTAGCTTTCTTTAATCCTAGTGTGTTTTCCCCCAATTTAGTCTTTTCTAAACATTTACCTCTGGTTCAGAGTACAAACTATTATATCCTGAGACTCACAGAATCCGCTAAAGACGTCTTATTGAAACTGGGGTGATTGTAAGTCTTTATTCCTCTTGTGCTTTAGCAGATGAATGATACTTTAGTTGATATTGGAAGTTAGTGTGTTTTTATATTTTTAGAGTGGGGAAAAATACTAAACTTTTGAGGGGTTTTTTGGTTGCTGGTTTTTTACCATGTTATATTACTGAATTCCACTTTGATACGGAGTTTAAATTTTGCTACTTCTCAACATCCGTTAAGATTTTTCAGTTATACCTGCCCATCTTTACATTGCTCCTGTAATGTATGTTAACTCTGTATATGGCAAATCTTGTCTTGAATTATATCATTTTTCCTGAGTGTGTGTGTGTGTGTGTGTGTGTGTGTGTGTATGTGTATGTGTGTGTGTGGGCAGAGGGTAATGTTTAAGTAAATCCTTATCAAAACATGGGCTAAAAATAGAGGTAACTTGGAATTCATTGCTTTCTTTGTACTCACAACCTGTTTATTCCCATGATACCGGATCCCTGCTGGTTATCGTTCTATTTGTAGGCCTCACCTCAAGTATTTGTAGTTTTAGTAGCCCTCACCTCACATTTTCCCACAGAGTTCCGTAATTTTCAAGTCAAGCTAACCCATCTCTATGGCACTTCCAAAAACGAACTCTTGAGTCAGGAAGATAAGTCTATGTAATAGATAGGACATGTGACATGAGGCATAACTGTAGCTTTTGAAGTTTTACCACCACCCCCCCACTTTGTCTTAGCCACGGTGTCTCTGAGAACTCCCATGTACATTCCTGCAGTCATAGCGCTTGGTCATGTGCGCCCACAGATCCGTGACGCCGCTGAGTATTAACGTTCATGGCAGAGACATGAGCTGCTTGAACGTAGTAGAAGAGGCACATTATGCTGGATGATTAAGAAAGGTAAAATTGGAAATTTAGAATTGTAGAAGAAAGACTTGTGCTTTGGAGATCTGGAAGTAGAAATCTAAGGCGTCTGGTTTGTTAACAGCAAGAGATTGGGTACATTAAACTGCAGGTAGTGTCGGGTCCCACCCCAAGCTTGGGCCTTCCTCCAGGGCATTGTTTGCTATAAATCCCTGTGAGTGAAACTGTGTTGCCATTGTGTGAGTGCTCCTGAACTTTCCTACCATTTTACCATCCCAGGTTCTGCTTAATTCTAATACTCTTTGCCTTTCAGGTTTTCCTTTTATCGTACGTTAGCCTCTGTAGGAACAAAAGAGCTGTCAGAAGAGTTCTGGGTATGTAGAGGCTCGGGGGCTGCGTCAGTCTCCCTGGGACCAGAACAGAGTCCTTTCTGAATATTGGAAAGTAAGGAATGAAAGTTCAGTGCTGAGTTTGTCGGATTACTGGTAGCCCGTTACTGAGTTGCATTTTAAGAGGCTACGCAAACTAAAGCACCTGGAACAGTAATGTGTGGTTGGATTGCCGAGTATTCAGGTAACCCCCATTCATTTCATGGGACTGCAGAGAAGGTGTATGAGCTCAGGACACGTATCATCACCGAGGTCAGCATCTCCTGGGCGGAGTTTGCAAAATGAGATCTGAATTTCATAGGTATGATAGAGCTCTTTTTCTCCCCTTTGCCTTTGTCGTTTGGTTTTTATTGGAATGAATTCTCTTTCTAAAGAGCTTCTTCTCTTCCCCCTCTGACACTCCCATTTGTACTTAAAACAAACAAACAAACAAACAAACTAATGTGTGTATTTTTGCTATTTTTTTGCATTCTTTTATTTTGTGCTTTTTTCTCTGCGCCGGCAGGAAGTCCTGAATGAAAAGTGGGAGTCCACATGTAGGATCAATCTCCTGACTGCCCTTTCCCTTCTCGCCTGCGCGTGCGATACATTGTAGAATAGTTGATTGATGTCTTTGAGTGGCTCTTGGCGGGGGAGGGGCTATATACTTTTTAAATGTACATGTGTGGTTTTGATCTATTTTTATTTTCTTTCATTTTGTATACTTGCTTCTGATAAAGAGTGAGACACCGTCCTGTGGAAATCTCTTCTGCCCTTCCCGTTATTGCCTGTGTGGGCAACAGCTGCAGAATAGTTATTTGATGTCTCTTTTTTGGAAGTTGATGGTGATACTGGGGGGAGAGCAGAGTATGTTCTTTTTAAAATGTGTACAAAATGGTTTTGCTGCTATTTTGTGGGTGTTATTTCACTTTGCACTTCATTCATCTTTCTCATGGGTGCGTAGATATCTAATGAACTGTGGCGGTCCAGAAGTACGACAGATGTCCCGTGCACCCCTCCCCTTGTTGCTAACAACTAATAGAGTGGTTGTAGTTGCTCTTGTCGGGATCTCGTCTTGTGGGGTGGGAACAGATGTGTGCATATATGTGTTATGCTCCTTTTTTAATGTTTCCATTTTATATGTGTTCCTTTGCATGTGTGCATACATACTTAGTGAAAATTGAGGTTCAGAGTATGACAGATTTCCTGTTTGCCCTATTCCTTATTGCCTCCTTGGGTGGTAGCTAATGTTTTGTGTTGTGGGGTGGGAGAAAGTAGGGTATGTACTTAGTGTATATGAATAGACTTCCTACTACTTTGTATTCCTTATTCATTTCGTACTGTATCCTCCTCAGAGGACGTCAGAGTACCCGATGGGACGTGGAGGTCCGGGTGTATGACAATCTCTTCTCGTCCCCTCCCCTTACTGCCCGTGTGGGCAATGGCTAGTAGAGTAGTTGTTGGAGTGGGCTTGTGGCGGGGGGGGATGCGGGGTTGGGGGAAGGGATGTGTACATGCTGTATATACCTGTTTTTACTACCAAGATGTGTTATTTCATTGGGTCCCCTGACTGGAAGTTACCCAGTGAACCGTGGAGGTCCGGACGTATGACAATCTCCTCTGGTCCCCTCCCCTTACTGCCCGTGAGGGCAGTGACTAGTAGAGTAGATACTTAGTTTCGGGGTTCTTTTGTAGGTTTGGGGTTAACGATTTTTAAATATATATATATATATATATATATATATCTCCATGTTTTTACTTCCTTATTATAGTATTTCACCGGGTAGCCAGTCCTTCACTTGGACACGTGGGTTCCTAATGAACCATGGAGTTCCAGATGTATAGCAATCTCCTCTTCTCCCCTTCCCTTTTTATCTATGTGTGGCAATAATTTTCAAGTGGTTTGGGTTTTTTGAAGTCTTGGGGGGTGGGAAGGGACTAAGGCAGGATATATACTTTTGAAAACCGTATGTACAGTGTTTGTTACTATATTGTGTTACTCCATTTTGTACCCCGTCCCTTCCTTGGACGTGGAGGTACCCGATGAGACGCGGACGTCCGGATGTATGACCATCTCCTCCGGTCCCCTCCCCTTACTGCCCAAGTGGGCAATAGTTTTAGAGTAGTTCTAGATTAATTTTTTTACTGCACCCCTCCCTCCCCTGGGAGGATGGGGGATATGTACTTTTTAAAATGTATATAAATATTTTTGTTCCTTTTTTCTGTTACTACATTTTGTACCTAGATCTTTCCATGGGTATTTAGGTACATGATGAAAATTAAGGTTCATTCTATGAAAGAAATCTCCTCTTCTCCCCTTCCCTTATTGCCTGACTGGGCAATGACTAGCGGCGCAGTTGTTTAGAGGGGGTTTTTTGGCAGGGTGGTGGGGGGATTTCTGGGTTTACATTTTTAAAAATGTATATAAATGTCTGCTGTGGTGTTGTTGTTGTTCTGCGCTTTTCCTTTGAACTGATTTTTTTTGTTTGGATTTGTAGATGTGCAGTGTAGTGCAGAGGCCCAGCTCCAGAGGCGTGATAAACCGTTTCTTCCCCTGTAGCCTGTGCACGATTGTATGAGAGTACTGTAGGACTTGGTGTTTGTTGTGTTTGAAGTTCTTAATGGGGAATGGGCTTATTAGGTAAGTTAGGTGATTTTTTAAATGTATATAAATGTTTCTGCCTCTTTTTGGCATTCGCTTCATTTTGAATCTAGTCCTTTGCATGACTGTTAAGGTACTTACTGAAAGTTGAGATTGATTCTATGAAAAATCTCCCCTATTCCCTTCCCTCATTGCCTGGCGGGCAGTGGTAGAAGAATAGATGTTTAGTTTCTTTTTTTGGAGGGGTGGGGGTGGGAGGATTCTGAGTGAGTGAGGGACAGAGAGTGTGTGTGTGTGTGTGTGCGCGCGCACGCGTGCGTGTAAAATTTTTTTTAATGTATATAAATGTTTGCTACGTTTTGTGTGTTATTTCACTTAGTACTCAGTCCTTTGCGGGGACTTGTAGGTACATAATGAAACATGGAGGTCCATACGTATGATAAATCTCCTCTGCGTCCCTTCCCTCACTGCCTGCATGGGCAATAGTTTTATAATTTGGGGTAGTTTTTTTAAGGGGGAGAGATGATTTGGGTGGGTCATGGGGAGGGGAAAAGGGCAGGGTATGAACTTTTAAAAACTGTGTATCAGTGTTTTCCTATTATTGATTTTGTGCCTAGTCTTGGCATGATGTATAGGTACCAGAGGAAAATGGAGGATCAGTGTATGACAAATCTCCCCTTCTCCCCTTTCCCTTATTGCCTGTGTTGGCAATAGTGAGTAGAAGAGTTGTGTGTTGTTTATTTACTTGGGTTTTTTTGGAGGGGTTTATGTTTGTGGCAGGGGAATATTCTTAATACATATGAATATGGGTGGGGCTTTTTTTGTTTCATTTTGTATTTAGTTCCTTGCATGGCTATCTATATTGGAACCTAATGAAAATTGAGTTGCATAAATTGACAGATCGCTTCTTCCTTTCCCACATATTTCCTCATTTAGCAGTGCCTAGTATAGTTGTTGTTTTGTGGTTATTTTGTTTTATTCCTAGGATATATGCCTTTAAAAATGTAAATATATATAAGCACATAACTAATCTGCTTCTTTTTTTTTTCATTATTTCTCATTAATACGTAGTCCCTTTCAGGGCTCTGCATGGATCTAACAAAAATCAAGTCCCATCAAATCCCTGCCATCTGACTTGAAAGGCATTGGGGTGGTGTAACTCATGGCAACAGGTATATAGCAAATAAGTTGGGAGAAGACACTTGGATCTGGTTGACTTATGAAAGCTAATCAGATTCAGCATTTCTTATGCTGATTCAAACAGAAGGAAATGGTGAAAAGGGGCCTGTGCTTTGGAGATTCCAGACAGGCAAGAGGACAGTACTAAGGAAAAAGTAGTTTTAAAGATCATTGCTGATTAATCTTTCCATAACTGGTAAGCCAGTGAAAGTGCTGCCTAGATCTTACATGAAGACCCTTGAGAGTAGCTTCTTTTGGGGGCCTGGAATTCTGACTTATCTCCAGAAGTCTCCTGCAGTTCCATCGATAGCATATTCTTATATAACTGATAGAACTTATTTTGATTTTTGGAATGAATGTTTTGAGTTATTGCCATAGGTTCTAGTGAATAAGAACATGGGCCCCAAAATCATTCCATAAAGAATCGGGAGGCAGGCCCTCTTTCAGCGCCCGTCCGTGATCGGGCAAGTTGGCCCTTCCCTACCCAGAGCTCTTCTGAGTGGCTGCTTCACTCTCCTCAGTTCTCCGTTAGCTGGACCATTCCTGTTGTTTTTTTTTTTTCTTTTTGTCTTCGGTGCCTGCAATATTAGATGTTATCCTCACGTACACTTAAAAATGTAAGCTAGTGTTGCCTCATCAGCTGTATGTTTTTGCATGCATTTCATACATCCAGACTTGCATGTTCATGTTCAGCATTCTTGAATCGTACTGACTCTTCATTCACCACATGGTAAATGTTAGGACTCCACGTTTGTCTGTATCAAAGAAAATGCATGTGTAAAATCCCTCACTCCCTCCCTGCCTCTCTTCCTCCCTTCCTTTTTTCCTTCAAGCTTCTGAGCAATCTTTGTTTGTTCTGCAGTTTATAATGAATATAATGCTGAAGATTTGCCATATTATTTTATTATATGTGTATTTTTAGAAACATTGATAGGATTCCTAGAACACTGGCAAAGAGATGTCATTTACCATATCAAACTGTCAGATTCTAGTGTTCAAAAATTAGCCTATACTTGGCTGTTACTTATACCTGCTGCTGTAGAAAAAATAAAAATTTGTTCATGACACATATAACTTTGATCATAAATAAGCGAGAAAGGGGCACCTTTTTGGAATTAGTCATGGTAGTCATTAGTGATATTTCTGAACAGTTCTTAATTTGAAATATTTCAAAGAAGTAAAGGTCATGGCTTCGCTGAATGAAATGCTCCAGAAGTTGAAATGTATAAACCATCAGTACAATAATACACTTGTGTGTGTGTGTGTGTGTGTGTGTGTGTGTGTGTGTGTGTGTGTGTATACAGATATATATATAAAATGAGAATTACCACATAATTGGAGCATTTGCATTATCAGCAAACTCACACTGAGACAAACCTTAGTCTTATAGCCGTCTTGATTAAAGCCAAGTGTTCCACGTTGCTATGAAGAGTAATCTCTTTCAAACACTTTGAAAAGTAATTACTTGGAAGCTTGTAGAGATACTACATTTTTGTATTTAAACACCTATGCAGATCTCCAATTCTTTGAATCTGAGCTTGTGGGTGGAATTCTAAATTTGTATCATAATCTGTCTTTTGTGGAAAATTTTGAAAATGGTATGTATAATATATATATATGCAAATTGTGTTGTGTCACTTGGAAAGGGAAAAGGCTTATTTTTCTTTATATTTCTGATAACTTGTTTTGCATATGACCAGCACTGACTGAAAGGCATGTGTAATTGCAAACACTGTTGCTTTTTTTTTTGTGAAATGAAAATAAAAGTATTTAAATATAAATATTGTGTGGCCTATTTGGATGAAAGAAAAATTACGTATGTAAAATGGTGCATCTTCTCCGATTACACGCTCTACCAGGATAATGACCATACTCATTGTCTTGCATGATTTTTTTTCTGCCCCACTAGTACCCCAGTATCTATACTGCCTGTAACTCAAGGTTTCTCAAATTCACAGTTGCTAGGAGCATCCTCAGCCTCTAATGCAAATAGCAAATACAAACTAATGGCAATTCCACTGTGACAATGAAAAGTGCCTCTGGACATGGCCATTGCCAAATTTCTCCTGTGATGGGGTGGGGATTAAAACTTTCAGTGGGTGCTTGGAGCAGGGGGCTCAGTAACAGTTACAGGACTCTATCCAGGGCAGTTATTTACTTTTTAGACTGAATTGCTTATAAATGCTCAGTACCAGTTGATACCGTAATAGTTAAGTACCTAAATCCATATGAGACGTGTAGCTACTTATGCCAGTGAAACCAAAGAACACTCACTATCTGAATTTGAAGGTGAAAGGACACTGAATGTTATCAAGGCTCCCTCCGCCCCCAGCTTTCATTCACATGTAATTGGCGTGCGGGTGCACAGCTTTTTTCAAGGGACACTGCCACAGTTACATTCCTGGTCAGGTCGACAAAAGGAGTTTCTCTGTTCTGGCCCCATGAGTGGTGTTGAGGGACAATTGAGAATTTCTTAGGCTTCCAGATAGGGGAACTAAAACCAGTATTCTCTTAGAGTAATTGTTAAGGCTTAAAGTTGGGCATTTTAGGGCAAATACAGTGTCTCGTTATCCCCTTACCCAAAACACTATTTCCAGGGACACAAAACAACCTTGAAGCCATACCTTTTAAAAATCTCTTATGATATAGGAGAATCAACAAAGTGAAGGCAACCTACTGAATGAGGAAGATATTTGCAAATGATCTGTTAAGAGGTTAATATCCAAAATATATAAATGACTTCTACCACTCAACACTGGAAGACCAAATAATCTGATTATAATGGGCAGAAGACCTGAATAGACGTTTTTCAAAAGAAGACATATAGATGGCCAACAGACACATGAAAAGATGATCAACATCACTGATTATCAGAGAAATGCAAATCAAAACCACAATGATAAATCACCTTACGTCTGTCAGGATGGCTAATATCAAAATGACAGAAAATATCAAGTGTTGACAAGGATGTGGAGAAAAAGGAACCCTCATGCACTGCTGGTGGGAATGTAAATTGATGCAGCCACTTTGGAAGATAGTATGGAGGATCCTCACAAAATTAGAATTACCATATGATCCAGTGATTCCACTACTGGTCATTTATCCAAAGGAAAAACAAAACAAAACAAAACACTAAGTTGAAAAGCTATATGCACCTCTATGTTGTTGCAGCATTATTTACAATAGCCAAGACATGGAAGGAACCTAAGTGTCCCATCGATAGATGAATGGATTTTATATCCAACTCTTAGGAGTTGCCAAGATTTTGATCAAAAGCTAATGGTTACAGTTTTTATACTTTTTTATTCATGGATATCTGCAATAAAAAATTGAACTAAAATCCTTTATAAATGTAGAGAAGAACACTTTGATTTCAATGGACTTTTTGATGAGAGTAATAGAACTTTATTTTTGAAAGTCATTTTTAGGATTCATGACACAGAAGAGTTTGATGTGGTTATATTTTCTTTTTGCTTTACTTCAGTCCTTACCGTAAAGCCCTACCTGCCCCCACCACCGCAACACACAAACACACGTGTGCATGCGCACACACCCACAGACACGCACATACACACATGCACACGCACACACACACACGCACACATACACACAAGCATCCAGTGCTTTCTAAAACTTGTGTGTGAGGTGAACAGTTAACATGCTCTACAGGCCAGTTATTACCAGAGAGCAAAAACATACTTTTAAATCATTACAGCCCACCTTCACTAATTAGCGATATGTTTCCAGTGCTTTCTGCTTGGTCATTTTTATTATTTCCCTAGTATATTATTATTATTTATTGAAGTATAGTTGACAACACAATGTTACATTAGTTTCAGATGTACAACATGATTGAACAGCTCTTTGCTAAGCTCACCACAAGTGTAGCTACCATCTGTCACCATACAACATTATTACAATACCATTTAGCATGCTCCCCATGCTGTGCCTTTCATCCCAGTGACTTATTCCTTCCATAACTGGAAGCCTGTACCTCCCATTCCCCTACCCATCTCCACTCTGGCAACCACCAGTTTGTTCTCTGGACTTATGGGTTTGTTTCTGCTTTGTTTTGTTTTTTAGAGTCCACATATGAGCAAAATCCTATGGTATTTCGCAGCCTCATTTCACTTAGCATAATAACCTCTAGATTCATCATGTTGTTGCAAATGGCAAGATCTCATTCTTCTTTATGCCTGAATTATAATCAGAAGTTTTGCTTATATGTGTAACTTTTTTTTCCTAATATCCCTCTCATTTTTTTGAAGGAAGAACATAATGTAATTAACAAAATAAAATAATCCAAAACTTGGGTTAAAGTAGATGATGTTGCCAAAGTTGAATGTCGAGCAGGTTGCACCGGGAGGCAATAGACTGAAAGGAAGTCAGGGGCAAACAGGAAGCCAGGTTAGCTCAGGAAAGGCTAGTTAGCCGAGCCAGGGTGTTGCTTATTCACAGGCTGTTTGTCTAGAAGCAGGTGTGGCAAGCGAGGCATCTGTTGGGTGGCTGTTGATGTGGTCCTTCTCTGTGAGTGCAGCCCAAGTGTCGGGGGCTTCGTGCAGGGTGGCGCACTGGCTGTCCGGGGGCGGGTGGTGGTTGCTTCTATCCTCATTTACGTCGCCTCCCAGCCCTTTGTGATTTTTAATTTAAGCAGAATTCTTGGAATATCAGTATTAGGACACAATAGCAAAAGGTAATGATTCTTAGAAATTTAAAACATTTGAAAGGCCGTGGAACATAGGCATCGATCGGGACTGGAATCGATTCCTGGTTCGGTCATTTGCCACTTGTTACTAAAGTCCTATTAGCCTCAGTTTCCTCCAGGAATAAAACAGGGATCCTACCTACCTTGGGAGGTTGTTCACGTCGCATTAAATAAAATCTCTATGAATTACCTATCGCCATGCCTGCAAATAAGTAGTAAATGTCCGCTGCTATTGTTACAACTTCTTGCTGCTTTCTGGGGTACACAGAGGTTAATACCCTCAGGTCCAGATGGAAATAAGGTTTTTTTAATTGAATAGGTTATATAACTTACCATTTAGGAAATTAGAGAAATAATTTCAGTCTAATCCTCTTTGTAAATTTAAGCCTTAGATATGCAGATTTAATTTGAGAGTTATTGTAGTATATTAGAAAAAGCATGGAGTTATATAGGTTTCACAACTGAAATAATGTGTCCTGTCACTGAATTTGGTTAATTATAATTATGAAATAAAATCCTGATAATCTGCAGTGGTGGTAATAATATCTACTTTGCAGCAATAACATCAGGCAGGCACCAGGTATATGGGAAATAAATCTCGTATTTCATAGGTGCACAGTAAATACTCCTTTTTTCCCTTTCAATTATTTATTTGCCTTAAATATGCAAAAGAATCAAGCATACACAAGTCTCAGTTCTAGCTAGAAAATCTGTGTACAACTTAGCACGTGGCAGAGAAATTGGCCAAATGTGTTAAGATCTCTCTTCGTGCTAGAGAAAACCTTACATATGACATAGTCTAATTCCCTCATTTTACTGATAAAGTAAGGGTTCCAAAGACTATGCCCTAGCTAAGACCCCCAGAATATAACATTATATGTTAAACTTGTATATGTGTTTGTATTAGAAAAACTTTGTGTTGCCTTTGAGACAAATTATGTGCAGTTACCTGCAGGATACTGTTTCCTTGGAAACAAGAGTAGTAGATCTATTGAAAGGTGTTTGAGTATTTTAATGTAGAGTGTGGAGCTAAAAACTATCCTAATATTTTAACTTTTAAACTCAACAGTGTGGGGACGCCTGGATAGCTCAGTTGGTTAAGTATCTGCCTTCGGCTCAGGTCATGATCCCAGGGTCCTGGGATCGAGTCCCGCGTCGAGCTCCCTGCTCAGGGGGAAGCCTGCTTCTCCCTCTGTCGCTCTCCCCTGCTTGTGCTCTCTCTCTCAAATAAATAAATAAAATCTTTTAAAAACAATAAACTCAACAATGTGAACAATCTAAATACTACAATCTCAAAAGCGTCGGTATACAGATGTTAACATCCATATACCTCATCCATATACCCTTTTTTGTATGTTTTAACTAAGTGGGTTGCGATGAAGTAACCTCTCTGAGGTTGAAGATGCTAACGGCAGGGAGGTTCAGACAGACTTCTCTCAGCCCCAAGGGAGACACCAGGGAGGGGAAAGGGGTGGTTAACAATGGTAAGGGCCAGTGCTGTCATTGTCGATGAACTGGTTGGAAGGAACATAGATAGTAGCTTCACCAACTGCAGGTAGAAGATGAGGAAGGTCACAGGAAGTTGACAGTCATGGGAAAAGACACAATATTAACACATAATTTTAGGATCGTCGTTTTCACATATTTAATCTTTATTGAGAGTTGGGGGGCGTACTGGATGTCAGTTGACTTTCCTCTGCCCTGTATCCATGCCCATTGTCTCTTTTCTGTCTGAAGCAAACCTGAAATTAGAGCCTTCTGCCTCTTTACGATTCCTTCTCACAAACCCACTGCAGCCAAAGCATTACTGAGCAAAGCAAATTTTCCCCAGGATTACATAGGGGAGAATCTCTTTCACGCCACAACAAACAGCTTCATCCTCACTTAATATTTCTCTTCTCCAGAGCCTCTCCTTCACCTTTTTGTTTTGTGAGATCTTTTCACTTACTGTACTCCTCCAAAGTACACACACACACACACACACACACACACACACACACAACACACGTGTGCGCGCCTTCCTGACTGCTCATTCTTACTCCTAGACATCTTGAACTTGAAATGTCTCTCCTCTGT